TCCACTGCTTGTGTTGGCTGCCGCACCAGCTGCAACCCACGTCCCTGTCTTCGACGACGATGTCCGGGACTGTCCCATCTGTATCGAGGCCTTCGCACATGGTGATCGAGCAGCGCGCCTTCAGTGCCGCCACATCTTGCACCGGGCATGCTACCCACACTTGCGGCTCGGAGTTAGTGCCCATGCTGTCCAAGCAAGTCGACGATCTCAAGATCGCAGGACGTAAGGGGCGCGCTGACTAACTGATCGGCTACATCGAGAGCGTCTTCGGCAGGATGACGGGGGATCGCGACGACTTCACTGACTGCAGAGTCCACCAGCACCGCAGTACCGATGGCACAGCGCCGCTTGACTAGGAGGAGTACAGCGACGCGCTGACCCCCATCAGGCACGTCGACCTGGTCATGTCGAAGGCCGACGGGCCAGCCGAAGGTCCCCTTCTGGGGCCTCTTTGCCTCCCTCCTTAGACCAGCCGCCTATGCGCTGCTCAAGCAGCGCCGCGTTGTCGCCTGCATCGTCGCGCTGCAACGGGCCGAGGACAAGCTGCCCATTAGAGATGCGATGCACATCGACACCGTTGTTCTGGCCGCGCAGAAACTCAAGGCGCGCGTCGCCTTCCCGGCGATGGAGCGCGCGGGCCAGATCTGCGCGCGCTGCGACGGCTCGTTCATGCGCGAGGAGAAGACATGATGCGGCATACGTCGCGCCGTGCGCAGGCGTCTGGGCAAGTGCCGCAGCGCTGGTCAACAAACCTGCCACGTGCTCGACGCCGTGAGCCGATCGCGCAAGCATGTGCGTCGATCATCGTTCTGCTCAGAGCTGCTCGCAGCGCGTAGAGCAGCGGACGGCCTACAGGCTCACGTGGTGCGCGGGCTTGTCTCAGCAGATGAGATCAGGAGGCTGAAGGGGGAGGTCGTTGCGCTGTGCCATCCGAGCTGGTCGCGAACGGCACGTCCGTCTTCCCCAGGCCGGCCGTGGGCCGCGCGCGGCCGTCATCGGAGGATAGCGCGGCAGGCCGCCCATGGTGGCAAGCAGACCAGCTGCGCACCAAACAGGTCTATGACATGCTGCGGTGCCACGCCCGCGACGCGAGGGCCGACCCCATGACGAAGGGAAGCGTCGGCCGGGAGCTCATCCTCGACGTCGCGAAGGGGAAGCGCGCGCACAATCGCCCCGCATCAAGGTTGAGCGAGGGGCGGCACGAGGAGACAGCGCCGAGCTCTCGCCACAGCAGCCTCAACAGGGACAACAACGACGACGCCAGTGGGTAACACAATCGTCGCTGCATGTCTGGATTATGATCGCGCGTGCAACGGCCGACGCGCAGTCTGTGAATTGTGTTCGCGAGCGCGATGCATTCCAGCAGAAGAGTCGACAATTCCTCAACTTAGCAGCATATCCAGCACTTCGGTTGGTTTTTAGAGCTCAGGCAAGGTGCAACGACAGAAGTCCTGAAACTGATCGTGCCAAGTCACCGTTCCACTTCAAATCGTCAGGCATATGTTAGAATCGTCAGCAATCAAATTCCAGAGTCGCAGCTCAAACGGCCAAAATTTGTCTGACGAAGGACCCAACCGTATGCTGCTGCGAGTACCACGAGAGAAGAGAGAGAGAGAGAGAGAGAGAGAAAGAGAGAGAGAGAGAGAGCGAGAAAGAGAGAGAGAAAGAGAGAGAGAGAGAGAGAGAGAAAGAGAGAAAGAGAGAGAGAGAGAGAAAGAGAGAGAGAGAGAGAGAGGAGACGAAGGAGGGGGGGCAGCACAACGGATTGCGGCGTGCATGGGGGGGGGAGAAAAGCTCATGCGGGCGAGCGGGGAGCAGCGGTGCCACGCGGACGCTCCCATTGTGGGGCCTTCGGTGGAGCTCCTTATTGGGGCCACGAATTGTGCGAGGGGTGTGCCCAAATGGGGCGGCGGTGCCATGCGGGCGCTCCCGCTTGGGCCTTCGGCGGAGCTCCTTCTGGGGCCACGATCCGTGTGAGAGGCGTGCCAGAATGGGGCGGCGGTGCCATGCTGACGCTCCCGCTGGGGCCTTCGGTGGAGCTCCCTATGGGGCCATGAACCTTTTGATGGGGCGTGGCAGCATGGGGCGGCGGTGCCATGCGGACGCTCCCGCTGTGGCCTTCGGTGGGGTTCACTATGGAACCATGAGCCCTGTGTGGGGTGTGCCCACATGGGGCGGCTTTGCCATGCGGACGCTCCCACTGGGGCCTTCGGTGGAGCTCCTTATGGGGCCACGAACCGTGTGAGGGGTGTGCCAAAATGAGGCGGCGGTGCCATGCGGACGCTCCATGCGGCCACGAACCGTGTGAGGGGTGTGCCAACATGAGGCGGCGGTGCCATGCGGACGCTCCCGTTGGGGCCGTCGGTGGAGCTCCATATGAGGCCACGAACCGTGTGACGGAAACGGTGCCATGCGGACGCTCCCGCTGTGGCCGTCGGTGTAGCTCCTTATGGGGCCATGAACCTTTTGATGGGGCGTGGCAGCATGGGGCGGCGGTGCCATGCGGACGCTCCCGCTGTGGCCTTCGGTGGAACTCTTTATGGGGCCGCGAACCGTGTGAGGGGTGTGTGCCAAAATGAGGCGGCGTGCCATGCGGACGCTCCCGCTGGGGCCTTCGGTGGAGCTCCATATGGGGCCACGAGCCGTGTGAGGGGTGTGCCGAAATGGGGCGACCTTGGCATGCGGACGCTCCCGCTGATGCCTTCGGTGGAGCTCCATATGGGGCCACGAACCGTGTGAGGGATGTGCCAGTGTGGGGGCGGCGTTGACGCATGCAACCGCTGCCACTTTGGCCTTCGGTGGAGCTCCTTGTGGTGCCACGAACCGTGTGAGGGGCTCGGCCCTGACGATGGCGATTGTGATGATCATGATGATGTGGATCATGACGATGATGATGATGATGATGATGATGATGATGATGATGATGATGATTATGATGATGATGATGATGATGATGATGATGATGGTGATGATGATGATGATGATGATGATGATGATGATGATGAAAATGATGACGATGACGATGACGATGACGATGACGAGGCGGATGGGAGGAGGGAGGTGGGGGAGGAAGGAGGGGGCAGCGGGAAGGAAAGAAGGAAGTATCGCGGGGCGCTGTCTCTTCAAAACGAGGACCCAACACCACAGGATGGTTGGGAACAAAAAGTGACTTACCGATCAAATGTATAGTTACGCGGCAACACGTGTACTAGTTAGCGGCAGATGCAATAGTTCTTCAGCATTATTCATAAATCGAGCAATTAGCTATTGGTTTGTTTTAGGCAGCCTTTGACATACATCTCATATTCCGTTTCAGTTCGCAGAACTAGACAGATTTAGCCTTAATCGTTAGCTCCAGGAGACAAGGCATAGCACGCCGCACTAAGCTTCAATTCCATTTGCTTAGACACGAGCGCGGTTGCAATACCTATCAGCAGTACCACTAGTGACTTCAATGTCAGATGTGCGTGCAGTTGCAGCTAATGGTAGCTCATCCATTTTGCATATATTGGCACAACGTCGTTGTACATCGACCAGGTCGCAACCAGTTTTTCATAATCCAAAACGCTTGTTTAACGCAGTCCACTTTTTCCTGAAGCTATGTTGTCAGCCTGTCCGTTACTATATGATGTGCTCACAGACACCCGATCCCTTGCAAGGGACCGATCACAGCTGGTTGCTGCAATCGGTGCCGATTAATCGGGATCGGTCCCATGTGGTTGCGATCGGGCGCCATCGCATGTGTCCCCCCTTCTGGGGGGTTTGGTGGAGCTGCTTATGGGATCACGGAACGTGTGAGGGGTGTGCCGACATGTCCATGTGCAGTGCAGAAGTCGGGAGGGGAGGAGGGAGGAGGGAGAAGGGGCAGCGGGAGGGAAGGAGGAGACGCGGGCCGCTGCGGATTCAAAGCGAGGACCCAGTTCAACACAGGATGACCGGAAACGATCACTACGGACCGGCGCCCTTGGGTCCACCCGCTTTCCTTTGATTCTAATTCCCCCTCTTCGCGAGGCCGTTGGGCCTCACCACGGCCCTCCTGGGGCAAACCGGGGCTCTCCCTTGGGCCTCTTGAGGCCACCTTGGCGCTCTCTGGGGCCATCTTGGGGCCGCCTTGCTAGCTCTCTTGCGGGCTCTCTTGTGGCCAATCTGGAGCACGGCCCCGCGCCGCAGGGCCGCAATGGCCTGCGCAGCCGCGCACGCACCCTCTCGGCGGGACTCGGGCCTGGCAGGCGGTTGGCCTTCCGATCTGCGGCCCTTCCGCGTCTGTCTCGCTCGCTACGGGGAGAGCCGATCGGGCAGCGTCCCGACGCCAAGATGTGCGATGCGTTCCAGAGAGAGCCTCGCCCTCTGCGCGCCACCGCCCTCGGCCGAAACCGGCGGAAGGCCGGCGGAAGGAAAACGGCGGCGGAAGTGGAAGCGAGGCGCCATCATTTTTCGATCCAGGGTTTCTGGAGTCGGTCGTAAGTACATGTCCACCGCCTCGGGGCCGATCCTGGGGAGCTCGAGGGCTTCATTGAGGATTTGTGAATGTGGAGAATCTGCCCTCCCCTAAAGGCTGGTAAGTCTCCACATTCACCGCTCCCCATAGGATCCAGGTCGCGAAGTCCAGCGGGTGTGGACGTGGACGTCCCCTGGCGGTGCAAACAGCCCGCTGCACGCATTCCAGGTCAGCAGATTGCAGCACGTGTCTGCTGGTACTTCCACTTCCACTTCCAGATTCATGACACGCGGCCCAGATCTGCAAATGCTCGAGCACCAAAAGTGCAGTCGGCCGTCGCATGTCTTAGGCTTGACTCGTCCCACCGTCGTTCCAGGAGGGGGGCGGATGTGGGAGTTCCAAAGGGGCAATAGATACCGATGACGCAACTACTCCCTTGTCGCTACGGCTGGATTCGCTTCGAAATCTTAGTCAGAACGCACGTTTGGAGAGGTCCAGGGAGAATCGGTATCGGTATCTTTTGGTTCCCCCAGAGACGGTGCGAAATGTCCACACCGAAGAGGAGGATGAGATCACCTGCGTGATCTCCAACAAGCTCAAGCTTCGCTGCCCGCTGTCCTTTGAGAGGGTCGTGATCCCCGTGCGCGGGGACAAGTGCGCGCACCTGCAGTGCTTTGGGCTGGGCGCGTATCTGGAGAGCAACATGAAGATGCGGGCCGTCAACAATAGGCGAGCCTGGGACCAGGTCAAGAAGGGGCTAGGGGTGCCATCCTCTCCCCCCCCTCTCGAGAGCATCGACAGCGTGTGACCACGACGACACATTCCCGTGTGTGATTGAACAAGAGACAATAGTTCCATCCACAGATGCACCGAACATTTTTTGCGCGTCTTAACGTGGAATCGGTTCCTTTAGTCATCCCCCCGGCCCCGCTTTTGACCCACAGCTGCGACGCAGCTGTTGTGGGTTGGTTCAAGTAAAGGATCGCGGCTCGCCCGCCCAGCACGCGCGTCCTCCCAGGCGCTCTCCCCCGGCCGGCCGGCCCAGAGTTTAACGGACCCTAACACACTCATGTCGCCATGGCATGAAGGGATACATCACCTACGTTGAAGATGAACCTGAGTAGGAGACTATTACAGGAAGGAGACGCGGATGAAAAGCTACGAGACAATCGTGATCATATTCTGCCTATCAACATGGGCAAGGAAGAGCCCAGTTCAACAAACACTTGGCTGGCGAAATACTTGTTACCAGCCGAAAATTTCGTTTTCGATTAAAGTGGTTTGACCATATGAGCGGACCATGATCCACTTATTCAAAGATGATGTACGCCCGAAGAAGGATCACGCCATGAAGGAGTGTGGATGTTCCTGAACACGGTTATGTTGACTACGTCGGGGAAGTATGCCACCGTTTATCCACCAAAATCAGCTGGCATTTCCCGTGCGATGATGAGCTTCGTCCTGGTACTCCGAAGATCAAGGGCGCCACTCGACTCGACCGAAACGGGGAAGATGAAGGGTACTTCATGCCGACCGACGACCACGCGGACGTTTCAAAGCGCCTTTCGGGTAACGACCACGATGTGGAGACCGAATCATCGGAGGACAGTTTCTCACGCAGGCCAACGCCCAAACCAATTGTTTTCCATGGTGATCAGGGGCCGCCATGCGATGAGGGACATGAGGTCTATGACCGAGCGTCTCCTGTTCCATTGGGTGATCTCTGATAATCCCCTGCGAAGCTACCGCCCACGCGCGGTGAGGATACCGTGATCCCGTCTGATGATTCTTATTTGGTGGAGACCGTGGATAAGGACCTCGCGGGTGGCCCCATAAGGATGACGAGCAAGCAGAGACGTGGGCCTATTAGTCTTTCGATGGCCTCGCCACTCGGAAAACGAAGTTAATCTGGCGAAATCCCGGAGCACCACCTTATGTCCGCTCCGGGGGGAATGCCCGGGAGCTAGGTTCCCGGGCCCCCGCGGCAGACTTCGACGTCTGGGGCGCCTGATTTACGCGCCCGCACTTCCCGCGAGGGAGGCGCCGAGAGCGACGGGCCCAGGGCCCCGAGATCGCGATCCGACATATCTGATTTATCCAACTTGTCGGGGAGATCGACCGCCTTCAGCATGCGCATCAACGCCAATTGTGCCAATTGCGGACCGGAGTGTGCTGTGGTTCCAGAGTCGCGTTGCCCTGACCTATGGGGTCATTCTACGAAGCCTGTCCGTTGCAGGATCTCTAATATCAGCGGTCTCTGCAACCGAAATTACCCGTGCCCGTCGCGCGCGGCCCCTGGTTCGCACGACTGCGCCGCGCTGCGCGTAAGTGAGTGGCGGGGGGCCGAGGGGGGGGGGAGGTCTGAAATCATGGAAATAAGGGAGAGAGATCTTGTTGAAATGCGTGAGCAACTCAGGCGGTCGGAGTTTCAGCGACAAGCCGCTGCCGCCCTTCAGCTGGGGCGAGACCGAGAGGCCGCGGTGATCGCCGCTCGCCGCCTGGAAGAGCGCCGACAGGCGGCGGCAGCTCAGCGGGCTTCTGCCGCGACAGAGGAAATGAGGGAGTTCGCCAATATGCACGTCCACACTGTGGCCTCCGAACGCCAAGCACTTTTTCAGCAGAAGCATCGCGCGGAAGAGGCGAGGCGCGCCGTCCGGGGGGCCGGCGAACATCGGCGGGCGACTATGACGCAGGCCGCCAAGGAGATACAAGCAGCAGAGGCTCGGAACGCGCAATCGGCCGCAGAGGCTGTCGCTGCTACGCAGCAGGCCGAGACGAACCGACTCGTCGCGGATGAGAGCCATGCTTGATCCGGGGCCGAGATGCTGCGCGCCCGCGAAGAAATGCGACGATTTGCGGTGATTGCCGAGGAGAAAGTCGCCGCGCAGATCGCGCGGCGGAGCGGGGGGCTGCCCGCGCGATGATGAGACGGGAAGCAGAGCGGGGCGGTCTGCGTCGCAAGCTGGACCTGCATCAGATCCAGTTGCGTCCGAGATGAGCGTCTTCGGCAACGTCTCCGGGCGCCGGGTCGACGACCCAGGCGAGCGCGGCGGCGGCGTCCACGGATCGTTCGCGGGGGCCGACCGCGCTTGAGCGACGGGCCGCGCGCGGGGGCTCTGGTCGGAATTATCGCGCGGGAGCTCTGCGGTGTTATCTGCGCTCCAAAGTGGCTGCTCGCGACTGCCCACTCTGTCGCGACGGCGTCTATGACGACCGCATTTGCGCAGGATGGCAAGATGCGCGCGCGCGCGCGCTGCCGCGGAAAGGGCTCCTCAGCCATGAGGGGCGAAGACGAGGGCAGATTTCAGGGGGGGGGAAATGGGGGGCGCCAGGCAAGAAATGACTTCACAAACAAAGCGACGCTGCGCATATGCCGAGGGCGACCTCGCGACGGCTCGCGTCGGCCCGCTCGTGCCCAGGGCTATGCCGCGGGGCGTGCTGGTCGTCGGACCACGAGCGCTAAGTCGAGGGGGCTACGTGAGATTGAAGAGACCGCGAGGGCCGAAAATAACAGACTCAAGGAAAAGTTCGAGCGCGAGATGCTGCCCGAAGGGGGGCGTGCCAGGGCGCGCGCTGAACGTAGGGTAAAGATCCAAGAGGTGCGCGGGGGAGGGTCTGATGCGGCTGCCGCCGCAGTGAATTCCGAACCGGGGGCGGCTCTCGCCAGCGCGGCGACCTCTCCCCGGGGTGCGCGCTCCAGCGCCGGGGAGCCTGCCGGGCACATTCAAAAAGAAAGATAAGGATAATGAGGCGACGCCCCCGAGGAAGGCACCAATGCCGAAACGCCCAGATTCAGGCCCTCCTGGCGATGGCGGCGGAGATGGCGGCAATGCTGATGACGAGGGCGATGGCGACATCTCCCTCGAAGACGACGGGCGTTCAACGCCCGACAGAGAAGGGGGGCAATCCAGATCGCCGTCGCCGGCGTGGCAGAGGACTGCGTGGAAGTGGTCGGCCAGGGGGCGGCGGCGGCGGCGACGGCCCCCCATTCCCGTTGATGGATGTTGTCCCAGCCGCCACTCCACGCGGGAATGACGCAGGTAAAAGACGGGTAAGATCGCGTTGCAAGCGGTTCCCGATGCTGCCCACTACCAGCGGTGGAGGTGCATTGTCGCCAGGGTGGCGGCTTCGGCTTCGCCGAATTGTGAGGGAGCTGTTAGTTGGATAACGAACGCTTTTGACATGGCGAACGTAGATGCGACGGAGTTGAGAAAGAGACTCAGGCATTTTTTCATCCAGCTTGACCTGATGATCGCAGCTGACCTCATGCCAAAGGGCAGCAAGATCGTCAAATACCGACAGTCGTCATCGCAGCTACCGTCTTCTCACGAGTGAGATCGAACGATTAGACATCGCCTCGCAAAGCGCTAGAAGCATGATGAAGTGTCGCGAAATTTTGCGCATCATTATTGTGGCCACCCGGCAGGGTTATGGTCGGGCGCGCGCGTGCGCGGATCTCATGGAAATGAAGATCCGCTGCGCGGGCAAGGAGGCGGATGCCGACCCGTTCCGCTTCTGCGACGAATGGTCGAGGGCACTCAACGACATGGAGGAATTGGGTGCCCCTTTCGCGCCGCAATGCGTAAATCGCAGAAGTGCCCTTGCGCGCAGTTCCCCCTTGCGCTCCACGACCATTGCAGCGATGGGCACGTTGCTGGCACGAAGACTCACGAATGGCTGCCATCGCGGGTCAGCGACTTCACGCGCAGAGAAAGAGGGCAGATTAAACGTGAAAGGCAGCGGGGGATGTTGAAATCTCGCGGTCTTCCCACCGGAGGCGACAGGGGCGAAGGGGGAAGAGATGCGCTGGGGAAGGCGGCCGAAGTTTGCGCATGAAGGGCGGTCGCCACAAGAAGTCAGCACCGCGCAACAGGTTCCTCCAGGGCAAACGCCCGCGCACTCGAGCGCAGCGTCAGCGCGAGCGTCCGAAGGGGGGCGGGGGCCCCGCCGCCTTGGCCCAGGCTGCGCCCGCTCAGCCGGGCAAGGACGGCGGAAAGAGCGGTGGGAAGAAGAAGAAGTATGATAAAGAGAAAGGAGGTGGAAAGGGCAGGGACAACGATCGCGGCGCTAGCCGAGAGCGCCATTCCGATCGCTCCAAAGGTGGCGGCAAGGACCGCGACCGTTCGCAGAGTCGCACCTCAAGTGCCAACTCCAAGAACAACGGCCTGTGGCATGCATGTAGCCGTGGACATAGCCCCTTGTCTTCTGACAAATCATCTCGCGATCGTCGCCGAGCTGCGCCGGGGGAGGGGCGCTCTCGCGACAAGTGGGAGGCGCGCAGGGGCAAGATCGGCAAAGCCGTCCCCCGCGAGCGCAGCAGGGGCCAAATGTCGGCTGCGGCGCAGAGCGCGAAGAAGAATGCCGCGCCCGCGCAGGGCAACGACATGGACAAGGCGAAGAGGTGGGGCAAGACCAAGGAGAAGCCGCAATGCTGGAGGCACCTGGGCGGACAGACTTGCCAGTTCGGGAAGGACTGTTGGGGCAGGGGCGCTGCCCTTGGACGCCCGTGACTGGAGAGGCCGGCGCGCGGCGACTATGTCACCCGCGTCGGCCTGGGCGGGGCTGAAGTTGATCGCGGCTGCCCTGCCTCGAGGGTGGGGGTGCCCATATTTGCCACTCGCAGCTTGCCGCGCTGGATCAGGATTCCAAGCGCCGCCGCCAGGCAGGACGCCGGCCTCGGACGATATTCTCACGAGGGCGGGCAGGATACAGGCGTCCGTGCGAGTGGACGCGGCCGCAGTGGCCTGGCCGCGCCGGCACATGTGCAGCGCGGGGCCAAAGATGATCTGCACGTGAAATTGCTGGGGTGTCTTCAGGCGGGCGGGGTCGTGGCGCCCCCGAAGCAGGCCCTTGAATTATTGGGGAATGGGGCGCCTGTGAGGAGCGCTTCATCAACGCGCATTCCCGAGCGAAAACGCGCCCCAGTCAGTGGACAACGGGGCGTGCGAATAGACCCAAGCGCGCCGCATCCAGCCACTTGGGCTCTCCGACCGAAGAGAAAAGTAGCAGAGTCCATACCAAATACACGGGAAACACTTTTTCAGTTTCATTTTCAGTAGGCTGAGAAGCGCGCGCGAATGGTAAAGATCCACGCGCAGCTGGCATTCGATGAAGCTGTGGCGCTGGAGCAAGAAGTCTGGCACATGTGGGCAGGCTGGGAGCAACGGATCGATGGCGAGCTGAGCGATGCCAGCAGTGGACGCGATGGCGACCTCGTTCCTGCTTTTTCTGTTAGAAAACAGCGGAAGGCAATGAGGGGTCAGAATTCGGGCGCCGTTCATCTTCGATGTGGGCTGCTGTTCGAATCTGATCTCCGTCAAGTACTTGCAGGACGCAGGGATGGTTGACAGGATCTCTCCGCCGGCCGTTCCCATCGCCGCGGATGTCGCCGGCGGCCAGTTTAGAGCCCTCGGTGCGATCGAGATCGCCAGCGATAAGCTGAACAAAGGGGAGATGGAAGGGATTGTCATGCCGGAAACTCCAAGCGTGGCATCAGTGTGCGAGCTCTGTATGGGCCGCGGTTGCAGTACCCATTGGACAATTGGCAGAGCGCCGCGCCTACTGCTGCCACAGGAAGAAGGTTGGACATTTCAGTTGAGGTAGAGGTCCCCTACCCTACCATGAATGGCAGAGGGGCCTTGGGTCAAGTAGACGAGGCAGCTCCCGCCGGCGCGCCTGGGCTTGAGCGGCGGGCGCGTGTGGAGATCGGCGCGGGTCTAGCCTGGGTGGCCCTGGCGCGCTGGGTGGCCCCCCGCCCCAGGCACAAGGCCACCGCGCAACCCCTGAGTTGCATTCGTGAAAGGTGATGGAAGAAGGCCCCTACTCGAATGGCAAGCTGGAAATTCAGTCGGACGGCGCCTTAGGATTTCTGGCCACGGACGGCGCATTGGCGCCGCAGTCTGATGCGCTCGCCCACTTCTACTATGAGCCCCGCAAAGAAGCAAAAGTAGGCTGGGTGAACACGGACACGGGTGTTGTTAGCGGCACTAATACGAATGCGTCATGCAGGAATGCAGATACGTTAAAAGTGCGCTGTGCCATAACCAGAGCGTGGGCGAGACTGCGCCTGGTCACGCGATGGCGGTGTCTGCGCCAGGTGAAGATGACGTCGCCGGCGCAGCGCCTGAGGGGCCAGGGGCCGCGGAGGTAGTCGACGATCGCGGCGATGGCCCAATAGAAGATGCAGGACCTGAAGGGGGCGACGAAGCACGAGCGCTTTCAACGGGGGGCCGTCCCACCTCAACACCTTTGCTGGCCCTCTTGCTTCTCCTTCTCCTCCTTCTCCACCTTCTCCACCTCCTCCCCTTCCTCCTCCGCGCCCCTCTCTGCTCGCCCTCTTCCTTCTTCTCCTGGCCCTTCCATGATTTCTCCTTGTATCACTTTTTTGTTTGTGTGTGTTGCTCTCTCTCTCTCTCTCTCTCTCTCTCTCTCTCTCTCTCTCTCTCTCTCTCTCTCTCGTTTTGTTCCCTCTCTCTCTCTCTCTCTCCCCCCAAGTACACTTCATGAATGCTACCCTCCTCTCCCCCAGGATTCTTTCCAGAAGATTGCCGGCCCTCTCCGCGTAATGGTGTTGTACCGTTTGTCAAACTGTTCTTCTGATAGTGTCCTTCCATCCGATCGTTTCTGGCGCTGCTCACTCATGTGCCGGAGAACCCTTTCTGCCCGACGTGCCGGCGGGCGCAAAGACGTTGGGGGCGCAACAGCGGCGGCAGAACATTCAGGCTGAAAACAGATGCGACGAAATTCGGAGCCGAACAAGTTCGGTGGCCTGTGCGCCATGGACCACTGGTTCGCGGCTGATGATCTCTCGAGGGGACTCGACGGGGAAACCTCCCAGGTGACACTACGTGACCAGTACATTGGGTTCCTGGCGTGCCAGAGTACCCGTGATAAGTCGGCTGAGCACGCGGTTGGTTTTCTTGCGAACTTGATGGGGGCCCGCCGAGAGGTTAGAGTGCATCTGCGCGGACGCGGACCCTGATTTGAAGATGCCATGCAAGTCGCTGAACGCGCATGCTCTGAGCGAGTCTGTGACTGTTCGCGGTTCCACGCAGCCCGCTAACAAAAAGCATAACTCAGTAGCTGAGAGGGCCAACGCCATCGTGCAGGATGGGGCGAGAACCCTTCTCATGACGGCAGGACTACCAGCCCCATGCTGGGCATGCGCTGTACCTTGCTTTTGCCTGTGCTACAACGCGCAGGAAAGGGATGCGGATGGTTCTGCGCGGAAAAAGGGATGCGGCGCTTCATGCGACGGGTCCCTGGCACCGTCCGGCTCTGCCCCGAGATGCCTTTTGCCCCCGGGGTCTCGCGCCGAGCAGCCCGGGGCGGGCCCTCGGATTAGAGCTGGCATTTGCTTTGGCTATGTCCATCATTCGGGGGGGCGGGTGGGCCCCCACAAGTGCTGCATGCGTCTGAAACAGCATGGCGGACTACATTTCAAGACAGGAATGAAGGAAGACGGGCGAAGGCCTGTTGTAGAAATATGGAAGCACATTTGTGCGCCGACATCGGCGCCGAGGTGGTTGTCGAGATGGGCCAAGACGGCGCGGCGGGCAACGATCCCATGGGACTTGCAGTTTACTTTTCGTTGCGCAAGGCCTATGGCCTTGCGTCTATGGCGATGCCGGCGGTCGACTTGGGAGATCTGTTGTCTGGAGAGAGTGTTCCTAAAGGCGAGCAGGAGAGACCCCGAGACGGCGGTCAGTCGTCGGGGGGGGGGGGGTCCGCATCGTCAAGCGGATCAGCTGGAAGCAAGCCCGCGGCTGAGACGTCGCCGCCTCTTGCCCATGGCGAGGAGGCGGGGGGGGCGGCTGTGGAAGTAGTGGGGGAGGACCCGGCGGGCGACGAAGGGCCCGCCGGACCCCCTCGCGCCCCGCCGCTGCCTGCGGCGGGGGCCAGGCGAAGAGCTGTGCATAACACCAGTGTCATGGGGGGCTCATTGGCCGAGAGAGAAGTCATAATTGCGAGGCAATCAAATTTCCTTGCGGCCCCAGACAGGGGCGGGCCAAAGTTTGAGCCGATCATGGCGCGAACCGCCCAGAATCTACGGACAGGCGAATACTTTGAGTGCGATGTCGTCACTGTTGGCAAGACTCGCGAAAAGCTGAGCCAGCCTCTACCGCTTGCGGGCAGGAGCAAGGGGACACAGAGACGCGTGGCGTTTTGTAATGACCCGCGGTGCCGGGCCCCAGATGCCGCGGAAACGGAAGACCCTGTGTTCGCGCGAGGACACAGAAAGATTAGACGAATCCCCGTATTCATCCAGATCGGTGGTGGAAGATAGGGGGCCCAGCAAGGGCAAAGGCGATAGTTCAGTTCAAAGCAGAAGGAGAGGGGTTCCATGGACTTGAAGACCCAGGCCCGACTGCCGACTTGCTTCAAGAGATCGGACTCGCCATCCCGCGACCCCCGGTTAAGTGTGTTATGTCGTCCGTGGGCGAAGAGCCCCCGTCCCCCGTTGCGTCGCAAGGCTATGCCGATGGCGTCGCGGAAGAGGACGGGGAAAACAGGTCGGTCGTTATGGAATGAATGACATGGGAGACGACTTCGACGCCAACTCTGGTGCTAAGACAGCCGAGGGCACCGCGGGCTTGACCTGCTGCCGGAAGGCGCTGCGCTCCACGCGTGCCCTCGAGGTAAAGATATGCGAGCAGCTACCGGCGCCGGGAGAAGGAACCTGGGGCGCGGCCGTGCTATAATCCATTTACGGACAACTGCGGCCGACGTGATGAGTCAAATCCGTTTGTTGTCCCGTCTGAGCGGGTCGCGGATATGCCCGGCGCTGCCTGCGTCGCCAGGCCGGCGGCCATGGCCGAGGCAGTGAACAGTGAAGGGGCCGCCGCCGCTTTGAAGAAGGAATGGGGCAGGTTGCGCGAGATCAACACATGAGAGGAGAGCAAGGTAATAGAGCTGAACCAAATACGAAAGAAGATAGGAGGCAGTTCCTCCCATATCGGCGGGCTCTTTGCTATCCTCGTCGAGAAGAACGCCGAACTACCTGGCGGACATGGGGCGGGAAGTTCAGGGGGCGTGTTGTTTTTGACGGATCCGACGTCATCGATCTCTTCTTTGTTAGCAGTGTTTCAAGAGCTCTTTTATTCTGCCCTGCAACTGCGCAGGCAAGCTGGGCCACCGATGCATTCCGTCTCTTCCCGGGGCATGATATGCAACGGGCTAATGCGCGCCAGACGTGCACATAGTCACTGTTGGGGGGAACGCCAAGTTGGGTTAGACTACCTAGGGAAGCATGGCCCGAGAGTTGTGCATGTATCCACGACCCAGTGCGCCCTCTGCGACAAGCGATATATTGTCATCCTGACGCCGGAGGATACTGGGAGAAGCACTGCGAGGCTCACGGTATATGCAAGGAATTCGAAACCGATTCCGTCGTGGCGCAGTTGCCGCTCCCGCCCGGAGCTGATGCTCTTCTTGATAGTGTACGCTGATGGTCCGTAAGTGCTTCGCCCCTTGCCGCCGGCCCCCTCCCGCGGAGAATGGGCCATGGGAGAGCTAAGTCATGAGGCCTTGGCGTTGTCGTGAAGCAGCGTCGAAACTTCATGCGAAGCCGAGTCGCAATCAGCAAAACCAGCTGATCACAAGAGGGGTTACCACACCTGGCGATTGGTGAGACGTGTATGGTTTAAGGGCTTGATTACCACACCTTGCGATTAAAGGGCCGAGGGAGTTCTCGCAGTTTGGGTTACCACGCCTTGCGGTGGATGTGCGTGAAGGGTGGCACCGAATTTCAGAAATGTTGCAAATCCCATGTGTTTTTGGACCCTGACCCCACGGATCTGCGTAAGGGGTGGCGCCGAATTTCAGAAATGTTGCAAATCCCATGTGTTTTTGGACCCTGACCCCGCCCGCGTGATGGGGTGGCACAGAATTTCAGGAAGGGGTGGCACCGAATTTTTAAAAATGTAGCAAATCCCGTGTGTTTTTGGACCCTGACCCCGCGGATCTGCGTGAGGGGTGGCACAGAATTTCAGAAATGTGGCAAATCCCATGTGTTTTTGGACCCTGACCCCGCGGATCTGCGTGAGGGGTGGCACCGAATTTTCAAATCATGTAGCAAATCCCGTGTGTTTTTTGACCCTGGCCCCGCGGATCTGCGCGAGGGGTGGCACCGAATTTTAGAAATGTGGCAAATCCCATGTGTTTTTGGACCCAGACCCCGCGGATCTGCGCGAGGGGTGTCGATTTCGAGCCCCCCCAGCAATTCAAACAACGCGCCCAGGAGGTGCTAAAATGTCGGTTTGCCCCCCCCCCCCCCCCCCCTCGCGCGGTCAATCAACTAGTTACAGTAACCAGCAAGAAGCAGAACTGTAACATTGGAAACTACAAAAGCTACAACTGGCACAGGGAACTGCGAACCTCGCGCCTACAGCCTGGTGGCCCCACAAGGGGGCCGGCGGATTTTAACTTGGCTGGTTTGGCTGTCAATTTACCAAAAGGATGGGGCCGCCTATTGAGATTGTGAATCCATCTGAGACCGCGCCCAAGGGTATCGATATAGACCCGCGCGCTCCGGTTGGGCGTTACTTGGGTTGCGAGCATGGACTCTCAGAGAGGTGGATTGACTGGCATGGTGAAGACCACGTAGTGCTGGACCTGCCACCCCCGAGGGTCAAGAAGCCAAGGGGCGCGGCGGCCGCGAACGCCAGTTTCCATGATCCTGCTTCGGCTATGGCTGCAGGGGCGACCCCATTGTGCACTGACAGATCTTATCCCGTTCCGCCTGGACAAAGTGTCCGGGTGAGATGCGACGCCGGCGCGAGACGCTTCAGGCCGTCACTGCTGTCGGGTTCTGATTGGAGGTCAGTAGTTTGGCGGGCTACAATGGATTATGACACATGGGTAGTATTAGAGTATTTAGTGAATCCACAGGAAATCGGCCGGGACAGGATCTACGCCGAGCTTCAGGGGGGGGCTATGTGCCTTGGGAACAGCAGCGCTGCTGTTCTACCATTCCACTGGCGATGATGTTCGTTGTCCGGGGGGGGCGCCCGATCGGATGCCCTGGGTCGACCTGCTATGCAGAGCCCAAGGAACGAGGACCTAAGTTGTTCCTTCACACCTGCCGGGCCGGCTGAGATGACCGGCGGCCGCGTCTGCGAAGCCGGGGATGAGGGGCCCAGGGGCCCCGCGCGGATCAGGGCCGAAAAGAAGGGTACATGTGATTGAATATGACATGGCAGTTTTCTTCTCGCCGCGCGTTAAACTACACGCGGAGCTGACGGATGCAGACCCTGAGACCTATCCGCTGGCTGACACTCCTTACGAACCTAAGTTGGCATGCTTGGAGGACGTGCAGGGTGGTCCCCGTGGAGGGGGGGTTCGCCCGACCGAGGAGGCTGTCGCGGAATGTTTAGCGATCGATGCTAACGTAGGTCCAGATGACAAGGTACCAGCTGTGGGTGTACGACCTATGGTCGATGACGGGTCTCCGAACCCTCGGCCTCCTGCCCCATCGGGAGTACTGCAACCGATAGCAGCAAAGGTATTCATGAAAATTCTCCATGGCGCGAGGATGGCCACATGCGATTTCCCGAGGGCAACGTGCACATTGGCATCGTGCGTTACTAAATGGACCGAGCAGCAATACATATACTCTTCCACCTCATATGCTGCATAACATCAAAGCGGCTCTGCGCTACCGAATGGTGTTTTGGGTGGAGATGAACCCACGGAGGTCTGGCTAAAACCATTTACGGATGCCGAATTGGCCAGAGACATCAGGACGCATCGGAACACGAGCGCCAACGCGCAAACATTGCTGGGGCCCAACACCAGGGCTCTACAGAGCTGCAGATCGAGAAGACAGACTGCCACAACGCACGGCACTCTCGAGGCAGAGATCGCATCCGCAGATGAGGCAGTCCGTAAGGAACTTCTGCATGCGCTGCTGCTGTGTGAACGACTGCTGGGAAGGTTTTCTGAGGCCGAGTCTATGGGGAACAATCGAGCAGTTGCGAAGGTCTGTAAGGCCAGGGGATCTCAAAAACTGATGCGCCTGCCACGGACGCATCGCATCGAGGCCGCACCAGTTGCGGAACAATATGCGAGAGGGATCATCGACTTGGCTTATTGCCTTGCGTAGGATCAAACCGCTGACTTTGATGCTACAAGGTTCGAGCAATTTCCCTCGCGGGCCAACGTTATTTATCTTATCCAGGTGGTCGCGCCAAACTTCTGGGCAGCGAGTGGCTGCGGAAGTTGCGTGGAATCGCTTTCTGTCGGTGAGAACGCTCTACCTATCAAACCTTGGGGCATCCTCAAGCCGTGGCTGGGATCCAAGTCCACTCTCGTCACTGGTGGATAGATCTAGGGGAAGAAGGCAGCGAAAAAGCCCGAGCGCCCGAGCAAGGGTGAACCCGATATCGACACCCTCGTGAGCCGATGGTTGCGGCAGGAGAACCTGGGCAAGTCGCTACTGGGGAATACCCCAATGATGTCGAGCATCCCTTGGCGAGCGGCGCCTCGGCGACGCTGGCCTCGGAGCCTTCGAAAGGAACGTTCGCTGAACCTAAAAGGCGATTACTGGAATTTTGTTGCGGGCCTAGTCGCAGGCTGGGCAGGCCCGAGAATATGATAGATCAAAGATGCACAGTGGTACGATTGACAGAGGAATACGATATGACTACTGATGCAGGATTAGCTTGTGCCGCGAAGAAGATCGATAACTATTGCGGTACTCGCATTATGCTATGCGGCTCCAGTCCTCGTGCAGGTGGTTCACCTTGGCAATGCGTGAACGAAGTTATGCACTGTCGAAGCGGCGGCGACAAGGCGCTATACATTTTTTTGGGGTCACATGACGACGTTTCGGAAGCTGCACCGGGCATTGCAAAGGCTTGCGGAGACGGCAACACAATACATAGGTACCGCATGCTCAGAATGACCGACAATTTGTGCTTATTGGCGTGATCCCCAAGCACGTGAATATTTGTTTTGAACCAGCATGAGTCGGGTAGAAATGCATGGGTGTGCTTCTGGCCTTACAAATACAAAGGGGCAGTACATGAGAAAACCGTGGGACATTGCTGCGACTTCTGCTAGTCTTGCGGACAGGATGGTTCGGACTTGTGATGGAACACATCGGCAGATTGAAGCGCGCGGTCGGGATTGCAAGATTGCTGAGGGTTATACAGGCGAGTTTGCCAGACGTTTGCATGAGCTAGTTGCAAGTGCTGTTGCTGCTGGGAATGCTGCCGTCGCCTCCGTCACTCGTGCCTTTCCTGACTCGCGCATGCCCGCTGTCGCGTCTGCTCGAGACCACTCGGGCATCAGCGTCCGCGCCGCCCGCAAGCCTCCAGGCTGCCCCCGCGATTTCGCGGCTGCTTCCATGACCCCGTCGCCGCGCGCGCCGCGGTCGCCCGCGCCAGGGCCATCAACTTCGAGAACGCCCAGCGCGCGCGGGCCAGCCGGGCTCGCGAGAGGCAGAGAAGAAGCGGCGTGTGTCGGTGTTATGCACCGAGCACCCTCAGCGAGGCAGTCGCTCCCTCCCGCGGTCGAACTGCCGTCGCGCGTGTCACGTGGCCACCACCGCGGCATCTAGGGAATACTTATGTTCCACCATGAGGCCGGCGCCCCGAATGTGTCCAGGTCCCCCCCCGTCGCGGATGCCATTGACGATTCAGACCTTTCGTGGGTGGTCGAGCGCGCCGCGCTCATCAAAGAACTTCGCAATCTTGTTGTTGTGGCGGATGTGTTTTGAAGAATCCTGATTCGGAAAAGCGTTATCGGGCAGGCTGTCGCATCAAATGTGGCCGTTAGTCTCCATGCATCCATGACCCTAGTTGATGTCGTTGACTATTGGAACGAGCCCCTGCACCTCTGGATGGAGACGCAGGGGGGCGACATGAATACGGATGACGACAGGGTCGCGAAGCATCGGGAGACGAGGGGGGGGGATTTGAACGAGCGCGTGGTCAAATGGTACAAGGTGCCTGGTCTGTGCCATATCCTCGGCCTCGGACACGGCCGCGCCGCGGAAGAGGTTAGCGAAGCCGCCGAGAAGTTCAAGTGCTGGCTTAGGTTGCCGAAGATCCCTGGCCCAGACAACATCAGCTTCAACCCCAATGTCGCTGGCTTGCTCACGACGTTTTTGTTCAAGCCTGACTGCGCCGTTCAGTGGGGGGGAGCTATGTTCTCCGACGACATATGGAGGGCTTCCTGGGTGAAGGTGGCGTCTGGGCACGCTCCTCGCATCCGCGGTCCTCACTGCGACGGCGGGATAGGGTATGCTTACCTGGTGATCCGTGATCACGAGTGCACATTCCGCATGCCGGGGCCACGAGTGACCGCTGATCAGCGTGCTAAGCTCGCTGGTCAGTGGGCCCAAAAGGCGACGGACAAACTCTGGCGCAATCTCCCCACGGTGACACTGGAGGACGCCTTCGCCTACCTGGCGGACCCAAGATATGGACCGCACGAACGCCGCGATGGTGACTGGCAGGTTCGCAGGAGGATCGGCAGGATAACGAGAGCACTAGTACTGACCTTCCCCACGCCCACTCGCTGGGACAGGACAGCTATGTTGCGCCCGACCAAATCCTGGGCCCCAGGCTTCCGAACATTGACGCAGCGGACATCGCAAACGAGAAGGGTAAATTTCTGCTGGCGGGTGAGATGTTGTATTATGCTGACAAGCAAATGTCCCCCTGCCGTGGGAAGACGCACGCGGAGCTCATGGATCACCTCCGTACTTACCCATCACTGTGGAATCTTGGAGAGCACTATGTGGATGATGGCACGCGCAGGCCCGAGTGGGTTCATGATGCGTGCCCGTGCATTTCCGGGTCTGGAGTCGCAAAGACGCGGGTTATCTACGCGGCCAGGCAGTGGTGGATAGCGCTGCGCATGCAGCGTGGCTGTGGACGAAGGACTACACCCCGTGACCCGCAGTGGACGGCCAAGTTGAGGATCAACCCGAAGCCGGAGAGAGGTTTTCCCGACGTAACAAAGCCGTCGAGCTACACCATGGGGATCATTTTCCAAGGGCGGCTATGCCCCGAGTGGCGCGGCGAAGGGGCCGCCGATGCCGTGGCCCGCCGCGGGATCAGCATCGGCTTTGTCTTCGGGCCGCGGCCGCAACCCCGCAGTCCCGTCGGGGCCGAAGGGGGGCAGTCGATGGCAGCGCGCTGCGCCTCCTCCTCCCGAGGCGCAGGCCAAGCCTGAGGCGCCCGAGCAAAAGTCAGAGCCGCCAGCGCCGGCGACAACGCCGAGAGATGCTGGGAAGAAGAAGCCACCTCCTCCGCCAGCAGGGCAGCCGCCGCGCAAGGCTGCTCCAGAGGCCGCGTTCACGACGAATCCAAACACCATGGAACCGTCGAACATGCCCCAGGGCAGTGCGACGGCGTCGACGGGCACGGCAGGGGCAACGCCGCAATCGCCCAGACCGTCGCAACCCCCACTGTCGAAGGGCTCGCCCCCGACTATGCCGGGCAGGGGATCCTCGTGGCGCAGGGCGCCGCCTCCGCCTCCGACATGGCCGCCGACGCCGTCGATGGCACCGCCTCCGGCGGCCGGGTCGCCGGCGCCGCCAGCGGGCCCGCCGCCTCCGGCAGACCAGTCGCAGGCGCCCAAGCATCCACCGCCATTTTGGACAGCAGCAGGCGCCTAAGGACCCGCCTCCTCCAGCTGGGCCACCGCCGATGGCGTGGCCGCGGACGGCGCGGGCGGGCGCTGTCGCGTCGGCTCCGTCTACTTCGTCGGAGGGGCCGCGGGCGACAGCGGCGCCTCCCCCGCCCGCGCGCGCCCCGCCATCGCAGACGCAGGCTCCGCCAGACGGCGCACCTCCGCCGCGTTCGCCGCCCAAGACATCGCGACGCGCTTGGTCGTCGGGAGACACTGGGCCAAAGAGACAGCATGGGGGCGGCGTTTCTTCGAGCTCAGCGAGTGCTAGTGGAGCGCAGAACTCCCAGGGCCCCATCGAAGCTAAGTCTGGCTATGCCAGCGGGGCAGCGGCGTCGTCGACAGCGCCTGACACTGAGGCCAACAGGGCCAAGCTACAGTCGCATGCCAGTGTGAACAGCGCACGGGTCTCCGAAACCTCGCCCTCCTGCCCCAACGGGGGTGCTGCAACCGATAGCAACGAACGTGCCCATGAAGATTCTCTACGGCGCGAGGATGGCCAGGTGCGGTTTGCTTGGGGCAACGTGCACATTCGCATCGCGCGTTATTAAATGGACCGAACGGCAAGACATAGAACTCTTCCGCCTCATATGTTACACCAAAGCGACACCACGCTACCGAATGGTGTCGTGGGTGGGAGATGAAGCCACAGAAGCCTGGCTTAAACCGTATGCGGATGCCAATTCGGCCAGTGACATCAGGACTCATCTGAACACGCGCGCCAACGCGCAAACATTGGGGACCCAACACCAGATTTCTACAGAGGTGCAACTCGAAGAAGCAGACTGCCACATCGCACAGCACTCTCGAGGCAGAGATCGCATCCGAAGATTAGGCAGTGCGTAGGGAACTATGCCTGCACTGCTGCTGTGGGAACGACTGCTGGGAAGGTCCCCTAGGGCCGAGTCGATGGAGGACAATCAAGCTGTTGTGAAGGTCTGCGCGGCCGGGGGATCGCAAAAACTGACGCACCTGCCGCGGGCGCATCGCACCGATGTTGCAGCAGTTGCGGAGCAAAGTGCGAGGGGTGTCATCGATTTGGCATATTGCCCCACGCAGGATCAAGCCGCTTACGTTGGTACTAAGAGGTTTGAACAACTTCCCTGGTGAGCCAAACTGATTTCTCTTATTCAAGTGGTCGCGCCAACCTCCTGGGCAGCGAGTAGCTGCGGAAGTTGTGTGGAAACGTGACGGTGAGAACGCCCTACCTAGGAAACCCGGGGGGATTCTCGAGCCGAGGCTGGGACCCAAGTCCTCTCTCGTCACTGGTGGGGAGATCGCCGGGGAGAAGGCAGCGAAGAAGCCCGGGCGCCGGAACAAAGGTGAGCCCAATATTGACACCGAGCCTCGCGAGCAGATGGCTGCGGCAGGAGAACCTGAGCACGTCGCCACTGGGGATTACCCGAATGATGTCGAGGATCCTGCGGCGGGTGGCGCCTCGGCGACGCCGGCCTCAGTGCCCTCGGAAGGCAAATCCATTTAACCTAAGTGGCTGTTACTGGAATTTTGCTGTGGGCAGAATAACAGGCTGGGCAGACCCGAGAATGTGATATATCAAGGATGCACAGTTGTGCGATTGACAGAGAAATGCGATATGACTACGGATGCAGGATTAGCTTTTGCCGCGAAGAAGATCGATAACTGTTGCGGTACTCGCATTATGTTATGGGGATCCATTCCTCGTGCAGGTGGCTCCTTGGCAATATGCGTGAGCGAAGTTATGCACTATCGAAACGGCGACGAGAAGGCGATAAACATACTAAGGGGTCACTGGTTGACGTTTCGGAAGTTGTTCTGGGCATTTCAAGGCTTATGGAGAAGGTTATTCAACACAATGGTACCGCATGCTTAGAATGGCCGACACCTTGCCTTGTTGGCGCGATCCCCACGCGCGCGAATACCTGCTTAAGAAAAGGCATTCGTCGGGTAAAACTGCATGGGTGCGTTTTATCGCTTTGCACATGCAAAGGGGCAAGATATGAAAAAAGCAGTGGAGCATATATGCAACTTCTGCTATTATTGCCGACGGGATTGCCTGGATTTGTGATGGAACACATCGGCGCGTTGAAGCGCGCGGTCGGGTTTGCAAAACTGCTGGGGGTTATGCGGACGAGTTTGCTTGACGTGTACATGAGCTAGTTGCAACTGCTGCTGCTGCTGGGAATGCTGCCGCCGCCTCCGTCACTCGTGCCGTCGCGCGCGCCCGCTGTCGCGTCGGCTCGAGAGAACTCGGGCATCGGCGTCCGCGCCGCCCGCGAGCCTCCTGGTTGCCCCCGCGATTTTGTGGCTGCTTCCATGAACCCTTCGCCGCGCGCGCCGCGGTCGCCCGCGCCGGGGCCGACAACTTCGAGAGCGCCCAGAGCGCGCGGGCCACCCGGGCTCGCGAGAGGCAGCGAAGAAGCGGCGTGTGTCGGCGTTGTGCACCGAGCACCCTCAGCGAGGCAGTCGCTCCTTCCCGCGGTCGAGATGCCGGCGCGCGTGTCAGCGGCATTTGGGGAACTATGTTCCGCCGCGTGGCAGGCGCCCCGAATGTGTTCGGGTGCCCGCCCATCGGATGTCATTGACGATCCAGACCTGCCGTGGAAGGTCAAGTGCGAAGTTCCCATCGAAGAACTTCGCGGTCTGGCTGGCGCGGCAGAAATCATCTTAAAGAATCCTGAAACGGGAAGGCGTTATCGGGCAGGTTGTCGCATCAAATATGACCGCACCTGTCCTTGCATCCAGGACCCGGTTGATGTCGTTGACTACCGGAACGGTCCCTGCACTTCTGGGTGGAGACGCGCGGGGGGCGACGTGGAGATGGATGACGAGAGGGCCGCGAAGCGTCGAGAGACGAGAGGAGGAGACTGGAACGAGCACGTGGTCAAATGGTACAAGGTGCCTGGTCTGTGCCATATCCTCGGCCTCGGACACGACTGTGCCGCGAAAGAGGTTAGCGAAGCCACCGAGAAGTTTAAGTGCCAGCTTAGGTTGCCGAAACTCACTGACCCAGACAGCATCAGCTTCAACCCCAATGTCGCTGGCGTGCACACGATGTCTCTGTTCAAGCTTGACTGCGCCGTTCAGGGGGAGGAACTATGTTCCCCGACGACAAATGGAGGGCTTCCTGGGTGAAGGTGGCGTCTGGGCACGCTCCTCGCATCCGCGGTCCTCGCTGCGACGGCGGGATAGGTTTTGCCTACCTGGTGATAAGTGATCAAGAGTGGAATCTCCCAGAAGGCAAGGTGAACGCGTGGAATTGTCTGCCATCGTGACCGTCGAGTAGAATCACCAAGGGGTTGAGACCACGTTCCGTTTGCCGAGGCCACGCGTAACCACTGATCATCATGCTATGTTTGCTGGTCAGTGGGCAAAAAAGGCGGCGGACAAACGCTGGCGCAATCTCCCTGCGGCGACACTGGGGGACGCCTTCGCCTACCTGGCGGACCCGAGACATGGACCGCGCAAACGCCACGATGGTGATTGGCAAATTCGCAGGAGGATCGGCATGAGAATGAGGCCACTGGCGCCGACCTCCCCCGCGCTCACTCGCTGGGACAAGGGCCGCCATGTTGCGCCCGACCAAATTCCGGGCCCCGGGCTTCTGGACATAGACGCAGCGGACATCGTAGACGAGAAGGATTCATGTCTGCTGGCGGGTGAGATGTTGTACTAGGACTACAAGCAAATGTCCCCCTGCCGCGGGACCTCCACGCATACCCATCACTGTGGAATCTTGGAGAGCACGATGTGGATGATGGCGCGTGCAGACTTGAGTGGGTTCACGATACGTACCCGCGCATCACTGAGGCTGGAGTCACAAAGAACTTGGGTTACCTACGCGGTCAGAATGTTGTGGATATCGCTGCGCATGCAAGGTGGCTGCGGACGAAGGATTACACCCCGTCCGACCCGCAGTGGAGGAACGCGTTGGGGATCAACCCGAAGCCGGAGAGAGGTTTTTCCGACATCACGAAGCCGCCGAGTTACAGAGGGCCCATGAGGAACACATTCCAATGGCGAGCTCTGGGCGGCTATGCCCCGAGTGGCGCGGCGAAGGGGCCGCCGATGCCATGGCCTGCCGCGGGATCAGCATCGGCTTCGTCTTCGGGCAGCGGCTGCAACCCCAAAGTCCCGTCGGGGCCGAAGGGGGGCAGTCGATGGTAGCGCGCGGCGTCTCCCCCCCCCCGACCCGAGCAGAAGTCAAAGCCACCAGCGCCGGCGACGACGCCGGGAGACGCGGAGGAGAAGAAGAAGCCACCTCCTCCGCCAGCAGGGCAGCCGCCGCGCAAGGCTACCCCAAAGGCTGCGTTCAGGATGGATGCGAACGCCAAGGGGCCGTTTTGTGGAACTGGCTCTTGAATGATTAGTGGCACAAAGATGCCGATTCTTTCCCTTGCATATATGCTCCAGATTTTGCACGGCAATCACTTCTCGCCGAGCATGCTTCGCGGCCCCGCGGACCCCGGGCAGGTCATTCCCGTGCGGGATCTCAGGTCTGGTTTGTGGAAGGGCGCCGAGCTGTTCGCCCAGTGCCTGGCCTTCTCGCAGGCCGTGCCACCCTGCCCCGACTGCAGGCTGGTCTGCCCCGCGCTGTCTTGTCCAGCGCCGAACCTCTCGTGCCCGAGATCCGTGGCGCCTAACCTCACATGCCAGGCCCCGCTGGTGCAGCTTGCCTGTCCCGAGGGCCATCAGGCGCCGTCGATCAATTTGTCCTGTCCTGTCGCCTACCCCTTACCCGCCGAGGGGGGTTTCCTCGGCTACGATCTGCCCTCCCTGACTGTCGGCGTGCTCGTCGGCAGCGTGGGCAGCGCGGGTGCCTCTTCGTGGGGAAGGCGTCGGAGTCGACGCGACCAGGCCGACAGCGGGGGAGTGGGGGAGGCAGCTAGGGCTCAGGTCGCTCAGCTGCGTCGGCGCGTGCCTCTCCAGCGCGCCTGATGGCGTCGCCAGGCGACTGGGTCCTCATGCGGTATGATCTACCAGGGCCCGAAGTCTGGCACGAGCGCCCCATCACTGGGGCATCGGCCGCGCAGCCCTCTCTCGTCTCCACGGTCACGAACGATGGCGATCACTATGCAGAGGACCTCAGCGAACAGAACGACGACATTGCGGAGGTGAGGTGGATCGGCCAGCCTGGGGACACTCCAGTCGGCGTGGACGGACGGCGGATCTACAGGTTCCAGAACCCTCCCGATGCGGCTACCTTCGAGCAGCTGAAGCGCGACGGCGCCCTCATCGTGGGGGGCCGCGTCGCGGCGCCCGCTGCCGCAGGTGCTGTCGCTGCCGTACCCGGAGGCGCAGGAGCCGCTGGAGCCGCAGCCCCCCTTCCCCCACAGAGGAGCCGGAGTGGCAGGAGTCGCGTGGCGCGCAGGTGCTGCTGTTCCCGCGGCGCCTCCTGGCTCGGTGCGGGTCGCGACTGAGGACTGCCACGGACTCCCTCGTGGGCACGTGCTCCCCGACCCGCTCCCCGACGGCGCGCAGGTGCTCGGGGACTGCGCGGTGGCCCCCCTCCCAGCGGGCAACGTGTGACGGCCCGTCTGGTTGCGCGCCAAGACCTGGAGAGCCATGTAGTTGACGACCTCAGGGTGATGCACGCAAAGTTCAATCAAGAGGGAGTGCGACGACGACCCTTCTCCGACGCCGTGGACCACCAGCTGGCCGACGAGCCAGAAGGAGGGGTCATGGTGGAAGGCCCTCGCACCTGCCTGTCCCTGATGCGCTCCTGGCGCGACGCAGGGCTCTCGGCGGTGACCCGCCGCGAGAGCTGGGTCCGGGGCGGCAGGATCCCACAGGGCGACCGCTCGGTCTACGAGCACGAGGTGATCTGCAGGGTGCTCGAGTCGATGCTGACAGTGGACCAGCTCAACATCGGGGCGCTGCAGTCGGCCGAGCTTCTCGCGAGGCGCCTCGCGCCTCCAGCTCATCGAGGACGCGCGCCGCGGCTCGCCGTCCAACCCCGACTACTCGGCCAGTGACGTCTCCACATGGGCCTCGCCACCAGGGAGGACGGTGCCTCCACGGCGCCGGCTTTCCAGAAGTACATCGCCGAAAGCTAGAAGGGCAGGTCGGCAATCCCAAAGGAAACGCGCAATGCGAAGGAGGAGGCCAAGCTAAGGAGAAACAACCCCAAGCGTGCCCCAGGCAGAGCTGGGGCAGATGGCGGATGACCTCAGGCTGGAGGCTCGGGCCGACCTCCAGCCGACATCAGGCCCCCCAGCGGGAAGTGCCCGCCGCAGTTTTGTCTTCTCAGCCTGACCGCCAGCGTGACCTCTTCCCGCTGCCGACTGTGGGGCAGACACCACCCACGAGGCATGGGGCCTCGGTGCGCGTTCGCCGCAGGCTGGCACGCCGCCGCACCCTCGAGGCGGAGTGCAACGAGGTCATCGAAGGCCTCAACATGCTACACTCTCCTGCACAGCGACGTAGCGCTCCCAATGCTGCTCAGAGGGAGTCCCATCGGGCCATTTTCTCCGAGGTAAAGGCTGCCCCAAGAGCCAGCGCCGTGTACGCCCGCCGTGAGGCCGCTCGTGAGCTTCTGACAAGCAGCCTCTCGTACACCGGCGACGAGGCCAAGAGTCCGGTCGTGCAGTATGACAGATCTCGTGTTGATATCCCCAGAGTGGGATCGGCAGTGCCCCGGGTGGAGACGGTGATCGACCCGGTCGGGAGGGAGTATCTGCTGCATTTCGAGACGCGAATGCTACGCTCTGCTGATGAGTGGGATCAGATCGTCGAGACCGAGCCCCCCATCGCCCCGTGCATGGACGACTACCTGCGGAGGCATCAGGGCGCCTACATCACTTCCGTGGGTGACCTTGTGGCCGCAGGCAACCTTAAGGACATCGTAACCCCGTTCTTCGTGGCCAAGAAGAACGGGCAACAGCGCCTCGTCTGGGATGCTCGTGTCCCGAACAGGCGCTTCCGTCACGCGCCCCCGCAGAGTATGGGCACGTCGGCGGCCTGCGGAAGGATCGACCTCGGGTGCGTCGCCGACGACAGCGGCAAGTTCAAGGACACATTGTACTGCGCCCAGGCCGACATACGCAACTACTTTTACATGCTGGGTCTCAGTGAGGAGGTCGGCTTGTTCTTCTCACTGCCACCTGTGCCCGAGGCTAGGCTGTCGCAGTGGGGTCGAAGCGCGGTGGGCTCCCCTCAGGTGGACCGCGGGGGTTGGGTTTGGCCCTTCCTCGCGGTGGTCCCGATGGGGTGGAACTGGGCCTTCTGGCCTGGGCAGCGCTGCAACGTCTTCCGCTGCTTGCAGGCGTCCTCGCTGGGCCCTGAGCGTCTGCTCACGGATCATGGTCCAGTTCCATATCTGGATGGGGGGGGCTGCCGTGTCTGCTGCCCTATTGTGATAACAGCAACGTGGTCGGCACTGATCCAGCACGATGCGATAGCATGCTCGATGACATCATTGCCGATTGGGTGTCCTTCGGTGTCGAGGTCCACGAGGTGGTAAGAGCCTCGCCGACTTTCACCAGCCTGGGCCGTCTCGTCGACGGGGTGCAGGGCATTGTGTTTTCGAGGCCCGAGCGCTCTGAGAGGCCCCGGCAAGCCTGCCTCTGGCTAGAGGCAGGCCGAGGGTCACAGGGCAAGAGATTGAACGTTTTGTTGGACACGCCATTGATCACGTTATGCTTCGCCGTGAGTTGCTATGTATCCTCAGGAACCTCTACGATTTCATCATATGCCATTACACAGACAGAGTACGCCTGTGGCCCTCGGCGGCGCTCGAAGTTTTCCAGTGCCGTTCGCTGCTGCGTGCGATGTTCAGCAATTTGAGAATGCCGTGGAGTTCCACAGTGGTCGCCACAGACGCCTGCCTCTCAGGGATGGCCGTGGCTACAACCTCCCTTCCTTCCTCCATTGTTGCGTCCATCGGAAGGACCAGCGAGAGGTGGAGGTACACAGTTCCGTCAGCTATCTCAGCACGCACGTCTGCGCTGGGCCCCACACAGGACTCCTACGGGGACGCGATGGAGATCAACATGGGGCACCGTCTTGGGAAGCAGCTGGATGTCTTCGGGGACGTCAACACCGTCTTAGGTTTCAAAGGGCCCCCACAACGAGTACCCCTGGGAGCTCAACCCCGACTTCCGCGAGGTCTCCCTCGAGTTCCTCAAGGGAGAGCTCTGGAGCGAGGTCTTCGCTGCCCCCTTCCACGTCTCGGAGCCCATCCCTGTCTTTGAGGCGCGGGCCAGCGACGCAGGGTCCAGACATATACTTCGGTCCTTCAGGGCCTTCAACAAGCGGCACCTGAAGTTAGGCGACAATCTGGAAACCATCCTGGCCCTTTCCAGAGGCAGATGTTGTTCTTTCGGGCTCCTCCTGTGCTGCCGCCGGGAGGCCTCCTATACCATCGCAGCCAATGTTCGGTTCGAGCGCCGCTGGATCCCGCCCGAGTTCAACCGATCCGACCACGGCTCGCGCCGCTGGGAGACCATGGATGGAGACATCTCGCCTCCGAAGGGCGCCCGCCCGCCGCGATGCCCAGGGAGTCCGCCCTCTCGACAAGGCCAGCCTGCGAGGTCGGTCGTTCGAGGGCAGCTCGCGCGAGGAGCGGGCGACCAGGAGGGTGACAGCCTCGGGCGAGTTCCACAGGGCCCAGGAGGGCGCGCAGTCCTTCCTGGAGGTGAACGCTGTGGTCCCCGCCACGCAGGACATCTACTTGGACTGCATGCTGGAGCTCAAGCGTTTCGTCGTGGCCCACGGCCTCTCGCTGGGGACCCCAGCCGAGGCCGACCTTGCGCTGACGAGCTTCGCCAACTACGCCTGGACAGAGGGCCTCGACAGGGGGGTCGTCCACCGGACCTGTGCGGCCTTCCTCTCAGAGCACCCCGACTTCTCCTGGCGGGGCGCGCTACGCCTTCCGAGTTTGTCGCGAGCGATGCAGGGATGGGAGAGGCTCGACCCAGGGCTCACGAGGCCCCCGATCCCGTGGATCCTGACCTGCCTGATCGCCCAGATCATGATTGTCAACCTCAAGGTGCGCATGGCAGCGCTCGTGGTGCTGACGATGTTCATGGCCTACCTGCGCCAGTCCGAGGCGGAGAACGTGCTCGAGGAGGAGCTGGTGCCCCCGTCGGCGTCGTCCGGCTCCTTCGTGCTGAACCTCCACCACAGCGACGGCGGCGAGGTGGGCAAGGTCAGGCTCTCCGACGAGTCGATCATGCTCGACTCTGTCGAGGCGGAGTGGCTCGGGGACCTGCTGCGCGCAGTCGAGAGCGGCCTGCCGCGACGCCCGCTGTTCAGGCTCACCGTGCTTCAGCTTCGCATCTTCTGGAGCACGCTCAAGATCTTCGACATCCCCAACGAGTACGCGTTGTACCAGCTGCGCCACGGAGGTCCTTCCCACGACCGACTTTAACGTCAGCGATCTCTCCCAGAGATCAAGGAGCGCGGGAGGTGGGCATCCGACAAGAGCGTCAGGCGCTACGAGGCGCACGCGCTCATCCAGCAGCAGGAGGCCACGCTTCCCGCCGCCGTCATCAAGAGGGCCAGGGACCCTCCCGGACAGCTCGAGCGCCTCCTGTGCCGGAGCCTGGGCTGCCAGCGCAAGCGCGGCGCCAGCGGCCAGGGCCTCCGCAGGCCCAAGGTCCGCCGCGGCGTTTCGGGCCGCCACCCGGGCTCTGCAGCGACATCCCGCCCCCGTTCGTCGAGCTCATGCGCGGGTCCGCCAGCCTCTCCAGCGCCGTGGGCAGGCGCGGGCTCGCAGCCGAGGGCTGGGACTACATCGACGGGGCTCGAGCCGACCTCGCAGACCCACAAGTGATCGCCTATTTTCGCCAACGTATTGCTTCTAGACAGCTGTGTGGTCTGCACTTTGGCCTCGACTGTAAGACCCGGTCCAGAGCCAGAACCAAAAAACGACGGGCTCGGCCCGCCTCCTCTTCGCAGTGACGATTGTCTTTTCGGCCTTCCATCCCTCTCGACAGCTGACCAGTCGAAGGTAGATGATGCCAACCTGATTTCGTCACGCGTCCTAAGTCTGATAGAGGCTGCTGCCGCCGCTGGCTAGTTCGTTATGCTAGAAAACCCAGCCTCGTCCAGATTCTGGCTCGTGACGCGGCTTCTTGAGCTAGTAGCCCATTTCAATGCAAGGTTTCAGCGAGTGGACTACTGCCAGTGTCAAGTTCCCTGGCGTAAGGCCACAATCATGTTCTCTGTGTCTGCGATGGTACCCAGGCGCGCTGCAGCGCCGCCGGTAAAGCTCACTTCACCTTGCGAGGGAAAGACTCGCAAGGTTTGTTCTGGACGTCTCAGGCCTGCCCGTATCCTCCTGCCCTTTGTTCAGTTCTGGCGGAAGCCATCTGCTAACGAGCCAAGACACTCTTTGGAGGTGGGTAGGAGCGTCAGTTGCTAGGAGGCAGCGAGCTGCCAACTCTCGAGCCGCCCACAACTTGGGCGACGCGGTTTGCTGCTGCAGACATGGCCATAAGCTTTTGGCCCTGGCAAAAGAGCTTGGACATTGTCACATCTTGGCATGGAGTTGAGCGTTGATCATGTGTGGAGCTGGCTCTTGAATGGTTAGTGGCACGAAGATGCCGATTCTTTCCATTACATATACGCTCAAGATCTTGTGCGGCCCCAGCGTCCTTCCCCTTGTTATCCGTCCTCTTCTTCTCCCTATCGGGGCTTCAGTTGTTTGGAGGCAGCGAGCTGCCAACTCTCGAGCCGCCCGCAACCTGGGCGACGCGATTCGCTACTGCAGACATGGCCATAAGCTTTTGGCCCTGGCAAGAAAGAGCTTGGACATTGTCGCATCTTGGCATGGAGTTGAGCGTTGATCATGAACATGCCCCAACGCAGTGCGACGGCATCGACGGGCGCGGCAGGGGCAACGCCGCAATCGCCCAGGCCGTCGCAACCCCCCCTACCGAAGGATCCGCCCCCGACGATGCCGGGTGGGAGATCCTCGAGGCGCAGGACACCACCTCCGCCTCCGACATGGCCGCCGACACCGCCGATGGCATCGCCTCCAGCGGCCATGTCACCAGCGCCGCCGGCGGGCCCGCCACCCCCGGCAGGCCAGCCGCAGGCGCCCAAGAACGCGCCGCCTCCGGCTGGACTGCCGCAGGCGCCTAAGGGCCCGCCTCCCCCAACAGGACCACCGCCGAGGGCGTCGCCGCGGACGGCGCGGGCGGGCGCTGCCACGTCGGCCCTGTCTACTTCGTCGGAGGGGCCACGGGCGACGGCGGCGCCCCCGCCGCCTTCGCACGCCCCGCCATCGCAGACACAGGCTCCGCCAGACGGCTCACCTCCGCAGCATTCGCCGCCTAAGACACCGGGAAATGCTGGGTCGTCGGGAGACATTGGGCCGAAGAGACAGAAGGGGGGCGGCGTTTCTTCGAGCTCAGCGAGTGCCAGTGGAGCGCATATTAGGGCCCCATTGAATCTAAGTCTGGCTATGCCAGCGGGATAGCGGCGTCGTCGACAGCGTCTGACACCGAGGACTAGCGGGCCAAGATGCGATCAAATTCCGGCGTGAACGGCGTTTGGGAGGCGGCGCGGCTAAGGGCCATTAGTGATGCAAGGCAAAGGGAGCGAGAGTGAATTCTCCATTCACGTCGTGACAGCGGGCGTTGTGCTGGCAGCTGATTATTTCATGCTTGCCCGGGGCTTGACGACGCGGATGGCGGAGCTTGTCAATGTGGCTGTTGCCCTCCATACTGAGCATTGGTCGTTCGCGCAGACGTGCGCGGCCTATTCAGCACTCATCGAGATGGGTGGACTTCGCGCCAGGCTCGTCGGCCAAAACATCTTCGACTACGCGAGGAGAAATGTGCCGATCTAGAATTGGTTTAGTGTCGCTATTGAGTGTGTATGGAAGAATGACGAATACTCGTACCCCGGCATTAACATCATGCTGCTTTCAGATTTCACAGGGACATTCCATGAAACACAAAGTGAAAAGCAGCCTGGGGGGGGCGCAGACGCTCCCTCGGATGAGTTTACACAGCCACGCTGCGGGGTGCCATGCATGCTGCCAGGGTGGCGCTACCCTCCCGACCATCTCGACGTTGGACCATCAGGGGAAGATCAACATCGACCGCCAAAATATTTCCATGGCGGATCTTGGATTATGGTGTCGTGTTTTGTGGTGGAGTGGAAATGGTCTGGGCTCTGGCCGCCATGACAGGCGCTAGCGCGGCGCGGCGCTGGGGGCCGATATTCGGCAGTTCTTTGACCTGGAGACGGAACTGTTGGAGCAAGTGAAGCAGCTGGTGGGCATGCAGGCTGGACATGCCCAAAGTCATCAAACCTACATGGTAGTCCTGGGGCTGGGCGATGCCCAGTTTTGGGGGACCCCTCCTACTAGCGAGGAGTCTGTCGCTGGCAATGCGCTTGCTAGCCGAGCCGCTGCCGTTGCCAAAGACGAGGTCAGATTTTTGGAGGAAGCTGGGCTTCCTTGCAGAATGCTATGGGTACGGGGGTCGGAGCTGCACGAGAAGGGCGAACGCCCCGTCGGCGACCCATGGCATGTCACGGTGGGTCCTGGTCATTCATCTGTGAGGGAAATGGCCAGGTACATCGCCGACGCCTGCAAGGTTTGCGTTGAAGTGGATACCAGCTCAGGGGACAGTCCCAGAGGAGGCCACGCCTGCACCGACGACGAGAAGCAGAGGGGGGCCAAGCCTGCCCGCCCGAAGCGATCTGAATGCATCGTCAACCGCGTGCCTTACAGCGAGGATGGTCTTCGACACTGGGCAAATTTGGAGTTTGAACCCTTCCTCCCGCTTAGTCTCAAGGACACTTCCCGGTTACCCGTGATGACGTGCGTGGGCGTGGATCCTGCGAGGTTCGCGGACTGGAAAACAGATCAGGGCGCAGCTTTGAGGTTGCTGTGGGAAGACGTGCCGAGATACATTCTGCCCCACGACAATCGTATCTCTCATCCAGCAATGCTACCCGATGGCGATCTTGCGTTCCGCGAGATAACACGCGACGGCAGGATGAATCGGCGCATGGAAGCTTTGCTGGAATGGGGGTGAAGTTACTGCGCTTGACCCAGTAGTTGCACGCGCTAGAGGGGCTGGAACTGGCTATGCCGGCGACGCCCAGGAAACATGGAACAAGAGTATGGTGGATGACTGGAAAAAAGTTTCATGATTCTGTGCTCGTGAATTCTGGCTTCCGCTATGTGGATGGACATGACGAGGCCGACCCGATATGTCAAATCGACGGGGAAGCAATCGTTTGCCCTCGTGCTTTTGAGTCAAGCCAGTCCCACCAGAAAGCTACCATTTTCGGGCCTGATACGATTGAGACGGACGACAACAGAGGTATGCTGATAGGTAGAGAGGCCCCTCATGATAGTCAGGTGGATTACCAAGTGCTGCTGTCATATGCCCCATCAATGCCCAAGGGGCTGGGCCGTGAGCTCATGCCGGACGATGTCTCGCATCAGCAACGCGGCACAACGCTTGGCTCTAAGGCCTGGTTAGCAACGGCGATTCGGCGCCCGTGCTTTCCAATGCCTACCAAGCAGTCCCTTGCTCGATCAGTAATCGAGCGGTTGAGTGCGAGGCGTCCATACACACGTGACGACGGCGTGTCAGGGACGATGTGCGACCTCTTTGACATTGTCGAGCTTGCTGTCGATGTTCAGCCAGAACGCAGCATTATCACCCTGCCGTTCGATCTCCCGCCCAGTTTCGCACGCGCGAGAAGGAGCGAGGGGTGGAAGTTCTAGTCGCGCGCGATCAGCATCAACAGGCCTGGCGCAGTCCCCAACGCGGGTGTTTCTGTTGCCTCCGAAGAGATAGACGGAGGACGAACGAAGCATTTTAATACTTCAAACACGCCTGCGGAAGATGTGTGTGCATTGGAAGATTATATGAGCATTCCGCGGCAGCGCACCACCTATTCTTGCGAGGCTGAGCTCTTCAACGACGGACCGGCTGTGACGTGCGATTTCCAGATTCTGGCTCCGCCTTCGGACTCTGGGGGATTCAAAGCCGTGGACGCGGAGAAGAACAAGCAGCGCCTGCTGCTCGCATCCCCAGAATATTGCACGCACTGCTCTCTGCTTGCATTCCATTGCGCCTCCGCAGACACGCCAAGGAGCTTAAGTTATACCTCCCCAAGGTGTCGAACGGAGGCGGTTTCGAGTTGCATGTCGCAGTTATCGTTGACCCAGACCCTATCACCCCAGTGGGCGAGGCGGGGTTCGGGCGGAGAAAAACGGTTCCCGTGCCTCTCTGGCAGATGCGGGAGGCGGCGCAGCGCATTGAGGGCATGTCCCTACGAGGATTGACTTTCGGCAGAGAGAGCAGATGCAGGAACGTGCTGCCCATCGAAGGCCTTGCTCCCTTTGCTGCCGAAAGCGGACTGCCATGGGTTGCTGCAATATATGTATATATATACATTTATACATATGTATGTATATATGTCAGTAAGTACGTGTGAATAATTGTAGATATAGAGGGAACAGAACTGGAAACGTATCATTTCTATAAGGAGTACTATGTGCCCCCCGACGTCGACGCCCTGGCCCGCCACGACCGAGTGCTGAAGCTCGAGATGAATAACATCAGCCCGGCAGGGGTGGATGTGCATAACCGCTGGATGCAATATTCGATCGGAGATTTCACGACGCATAAGCTGAAAAACCCGGCACCCCCCTGATGCGGAGGACGATGATGGGGCGAGGGAGCATCGAGCCCGATTCAGACGCTGATGACCGTGCAGGTGCAGATGATACTGAGGATGACTGGACTCGGGCCCAAAACGGTCGTTCTGGCAGAGTGGATTTCCATCTGCGCTTCAAAGACTTCGTTCGGACTGGCAGCGACAAAGTCCACGCGCAGACAGTGGCTCATCGCAAGACCATCTCACCCGGGAAGAACCGCCTGCGCCCAAGCTGGGGGGGCCTGGGGTCGACGGGGTTCAAGAAGGTTCACTGCGCGAATACGTTGCTTCGCTTCCCTTCGAAAGGTCTGCGTCCGTCTCCTCCAGCCGCGCGGCCACCGGATCCGCGGGAAGTGGCGCCGTTTCATTATCCGCCCCCGATGAATGATGCGAGGCTTCTTACTAACGAGCGCCCAGTGGTGGCAACGTGGAAAACATCCCGCTTGGAGCAGGTATACATCTGTCTTCAACTTGGATGCCACTGTACATCGTGCAGGGAAGCGCAGGAGGATGCGGATAATAAACCAGCGTGCCTCAAGCCAGTGGCTTTATGCGATTATTGCGAAAGACCGAATGCTGCGCTTCACATCGACCTGTGACCACTCACCAGTGAGCACATTCGTGCTGGGCTGACGCACGCAAGCACAATGCCCCCGCTGAGATCTTGGCCCATGAGGCCCATGAGAAGTGGATATTTGAATGGTGGTGCCTGCTGAGATGTACAAGGGCGTGGCGGATTTGACCGAGAAGGTTGACAGTCCAGCGCAAATGTCTGTGGACCCAGATCGCGCCAGGGATGAAGGAGGGCAGTCCTCTGCCGCGGGCATGGAAGTCGACTCGGACCGCCCCGAGAGAGACCCAAGGCAGTCTTCCGCCGCGGGTGCGGAAGGGGGGGGGGGGGGGGGGGGGCGCAAGGCTGCGCCGCTGCCTCCCCGCCCGCCCCCTCACCCCTGGATGCTGCCGCGCCTGCTCGAGGCCTGGGCCCCGTCGAGGGTGCAGGGCCCCAGCAAGGGCAGCCAGTTAGCAAGAAGGCTCCAGGGATGGTCGACTTGGACGCGCCCGATCAAGAGGACCCGCCGCCTCCTGGCGGTCAAGCGGGGCACCAGGTTCAGGCCATGTTCTAAGGTCTTGCGGAGGAAGAAGAAGAAGAAAAGGACGAGTCAGGTAAATCAGAAGTAAGCAGGACGAAGATGCGGAAAAGCAGGTAGAGGTTATACTTCGTCAAAGCCCGCCTGCGCTGATCCCCATGGGCGTGCTCTCTGACGAGCGCTCACGCGCTTTCTTGTTTCAGCGGGGTTCCTGCGCCTCCCAAGAGTGAACCTATTTTGTTTGACGGGTGCAAGCAGAGGAAGAGGGACTTTCGAGAGGAAGCTGATGTCGGGCTCGAACACGCAGAGAAGGGCGCAACATGGTGCCTTGTTCATCGAAGATGGGGGCGACGGGGCATCGCGTGCCCTCCCCATCGAGTTGGCCCGGGGGCTGGACAGATACCATGACGCCGGCCCAGAGTCCTTCGGATACCGAGAGAAGAGAGGCAGGGGATACGAGAAGCGGACGCTCGAGTGGGCGCGAGGATTGGTTGGCGACCCATTACTTGAGTTCCTTCGTAGTCTGACGCTGAAGATGGCGCAGAAGCTCGACGTTTCCCGCGTGCCCGCTTCAACGCAGTCGAGCCACGCTGTCTCCCATCCGCCGAGCCCCGCCTCATCCCAACTAATTCTGTCAATGAACAGCGCTCGCTGGCGCGGTGCCCAGGAATGGACGCGGGGGAAGGTGGGCGCTTATGCTCGCGCATTGTCGACTTGGCGATGCACGGCGCGGCCCGCGTCCACAGCTCAGGGGGGTGGATTGAGGCGCGCGTCAGCGTCGAGATGCTGGGCAACGAGGGTTGCGACAGAGCGTGGGCACGCTTCGTGCGCGCCCTCGCCCATCTGCCTCGCCCAACAGAGCGTGGCCGCGCTTCGTGCGGCCCGGGTCCTCGGAATAAATATGGCGAACGCAGGCGCGGGTCCGACCGCCGGGCCTGATCACTGGGGAGACAGTTTTGGGCGTGCGCCGATGGAGGAAGACGATGCTGACGCGGAAGTCCATATCCTGCCACTTATGGCTAGAGTGCCGCTGATGTTCCGCGCTTGCAAGGGCCATTCCGTTCGGGTCATGGACCCGATGCACATGTGCATCAGGTGCGAAGCGGCTGCGAGATACTCCTACCCGGCCATCGTCATTCCCCTGGACGATGCTGCCATGGAGCGGTCGATGCCTGGGTACCTCGAAACACCGAAGAACGACCTCCAGGGGATTCGACAGCATTGCTTCAGCACCTGTCTTCCGACCAGCTTGGACCGCATGTCGCACTAGACGATCCAATTATTTTGCGCGGCGAGTGGGGTGCTTACGTGGCGCAGACGGTGGTCGAGAAGACCCGGGCCGGCGAGCGTTGCGAAACGAACAGAGAGCTGCCAGGATGGCTCAGACCAGGAGGATGGGCGGGAGCAGTGGCTGGCCAGGATTTGGCTGCTAGAATCTTCGGACTAGATGACCCGCATCCGTCGTCGGAGATGCGCGCGCTCACGTTGCAGCCTCGTATCTTTGAACCAGGATATCTGGATACAGCACGACGGCACTCGGGCGAACATTTTCCGCCCTAACTGGGGCGACATCCACCGGATAATGCGGCTTGCGGTGTCGGGTATACAGCATGCGTGGGCATCGTGGACGTTGGTCTATGACCGACGTTTCGTGACCCTTCAGGTCTATCCCGAGCTCGGTTCGGGTTGCGTCGATTTCGTAAAGCAGAACTACGAGCTGCACCGCCTGCCCCACGAGGACATCGGTGATGGGGCGCCTCCACGGAGAAGAAGGACGCGCTATGCGCGCCTCGTCTGTGGGAAGACGGATACCTTCTGTGCCGTAATGATTGCCGCAATCGGCTCGGGCGCTGATGAGTTTCACGTGTCGGGCTGCTGCGCAACACGGGGCCCGCATTGCCGATGCCGAGGCCATAGAGCCGAAGGTCGTCCACAGGGGTTTTGGTTTAGAAAATTGTACTCGCCCCGATTGCGTCCGCGACCTCGGACCGAAGAGATGGACTGGGGCAGACGCTGATCGCGCACAACGAAGAACGCATGATAAGTGGGTTGAGACCAATGCTGAGGGTTTGTAGGAAAACGCCCCTCAAAGTAATACTGCATGCCATAGTAACATAGTGACGGTCTTTGCTTAGTTGCCCACGTGTCCAGACGACGAATTACCTCCGCCGCAGAACCCCATACAAGCTCGAGAAGACAAGGAATGAGGCTCGAAGGTTTATCAAGTTCCAGAATGAACACCTCGGCACGCCAGCGACAGGGGAGGATGCGGCGGCTCCCCCGAAAGGGTGGTGGCCACGCACCAACAGGAGGGTAATGAGTGAGGATGGCGATTCCATACTGAACCCCTTCGACTTGGACTACACTCACCCCAATGAGCGTCACCGATTGGAGCCAAGCTGTGGTTGGTCTGCGCGGTGCATGACGGCTCCAGGAACGAAGGACATTGAGCCGCTCACCAGACTGAAGGCTGCCATTGCGGCGGGGATGGAGGAATATTGGCCGCAGGCCGAGTTCCGCAGGGCCCCGGTGCCTATTGCACGGCCTACGTATGCGGGTGCGCCAGCCGACTATGTCGGAGCTGGCGCACCGGCGTGCGAGCCATCTGCCAAGGGAGACAAGCGGCCTCGCTCTGCGAAGCCTGAGGGCCGCCCCAAGGCAGCGAGGGCGGGAGGCGACGTCGCGGGAAAAGGGGGGGACAACGAGAGCAGTGGCAAGGGATCAAAGAGGGCCAGCAGCCGAGCGCCAGATGATCAACAATAATCCAGGCGGCGTCGAGCTGAGAATCCAACGCAGTGGTGCACGACCCACAGTGCGAGGGCAGCCTCCCTTGGTTACGCGCCAACTGCACGTCCTCCCTCCCCCCGTGATTTTCAATGCCATGATGCTCCGTGGCGCGCAGAGGCAGATGCCGCGCGGCGCAGGGCATGGCGCGCGCGTGCCGACGCGGAGCAGCAGATTGCGGATTCTTCCGCCCATTGGCAGGAATGTGCCGCAGAATGGTGGTCGTCGTGGACATGGAGCTCGGACAGCTGGTGCAAAGACGTCTGGGGCCCCCGTGGTCACCGATGAAGGTGCGTGGAAGAGAACGAGGGGGGACAGCGGCTATGCCGACGTACCCTCCTCGAGACTGATGTTAGCGGCTCAACTACGTCTATCAGGGATAGTTGAGTCGCCGTAGCACAAAAGGTGGTGTGCACCCGCGTCTTTTGCACGGCGAGCCAGACGATGGGCGAACTGTCTGCCGGGCGCCGCGTGCCCAGACGCATTTGCGAACAAGTCGGGGCGATGCCTAAATCAGGTTCGTCCGCCCGCGCGAGTCGAGCTCGCCGGGCGCGAGTCGAGCTCGCCGGGCCCGCCGCGGGGGGAGTTGATTGTAGTGGCCTTCGGCCAGTGCCGCCGATCCAGGGCGCTCCGACTGATGTGATCCTTCTTCGCCCTCGTCCCTCCTCTCTTTTTCCCTCCCCTCCTCTCACTCAGAATTTATCCAGTGGCCATCGGCCTATCCCGCCACCGTGCGTGGTCGGTGGGTCAGAGGTTTCATGGATGCTGGTTGGGATCTCGTGGTTGGCTGGGATTTCTGGGGGCCTCTTGGGCGCCTCTTGGGGCTTCTTGGGGGCTTCTTGGGGGCCTCTTGGGGCCGCTAGAGGGCCTCTTGGGGGTCTCTTGGGAGCCTCTTGGGGCTTTTTGGGGGCCTCTTCTGCGCCCCTTGGGGCCTCTTGGAGGCTTCCTCGGAGCCTCTTGGTGCGGGAGGGGTGGTACTCGAGTTCGGACCCCCCTCGGAGGCCACGGTCCTTGTGAGGGGTGTCAAAAAACGCATCCGCCGGAAATTCGCACCCCCCCCCCCCACCCCCCCTTCCCCGGCAGAGCCACCCCGGCAACCCCCCCAGAGGTTGAGGCTCAGCCTCGAGGCTGTAGCTGAGACTCCTTGAAACTCACACGCCGGATCGGCGGATTTAGTCACCCCCCTGGGCCCACTTCTGGCCCGCAGCTTCGACGCAGCTGTTGTGGGCTGGCTCAACTAAAATGGATCGCGGTCCGCCCGCCCGGCGCGCGCGCCCTCCCGGGCGCTCTCCCAGAGATTAACGGACACCCTACCACATTCATGTCGCCATGACATGGAGGGATGCATCACCTACGTTGAAGAAAAGCCTGAGTAAGAGACTACTACAATAATAAGATGCGTATGAAGAAGTACGAGACGATCATGATCACACTTTGTCTATCAGCATGGTCAACAAAGAGCCCACATCAACAAAGAAATAGCAATATACTGAATCGTTATATAGCCAAGGCGGTCTCGCGCCTTGTGGTGGGTCTCTGGAGTTCAACACTCACGGATAGTTCCAGCAAGGGTTTCGCCCGGCGCGTCTCGCCTTCGGCGGAAGTTAGCGACAGGCCAGCGGAAGCCAACGGAAGTAAAACGGCGGCGGCCCCGCAGGCTGTAGCCGACGGAAGTAAAAGCGAGGCGGCAACATTTTTCGGGCCAGGGTTTCTGGAGTCGGCCGCGCGGTGATGGTGGCATTTTCCCAGTAGGAGTAGTGAATTTGCGCCAGTGCTCTGAGTGACTGACTGTGGCCGTGCATCCCTGACGGACGCCTGGGCAAAACCGAGTGAAACAATTCAGCGGCATGCGCGCGTGCACGTTTACGGGAGGAAGGGGAGGGAACGGCAGGGTAGACTATAAAAGTTTGAAATGATTTCGCTCTTTGTTGTCTCGGGCGGCCCCGGCGCCTGCGGAGGGCTTATTTCTTGGGGGCACCGTCGGCCTCGCGCAGTAGTCGTTGAACCTGCGAGGTGCCGCTATGAGAAAAACGCTAGATATGTGTCTGTTTTCTGATCGCGAATGATCGCGGACAAAAGCTTCCAACAGCCGTTGCCGAGCACACTCGTATTCGACACTCTGGAAAACAAGATGGCGCAGTCCTCAGTTTTCTTCGTCCACTCTTTTACTGAAGAGCGTCCAGCCAGTCGTTGTTCTTATTACAAAATCCTCATTGGGTCAAACGAGTGCAAAAGTTTGTTCAGTACGCATTATGCATATATACGAAGTTTCCGCCGTCATCAGGTACCAGAGTTCCTCCAAATTGTCCATGGTTGTTGAAAGATTGGACTTGCCTCTCCCAGCCGCCATGAGAATCCCCGTGTCCTACGCGACCATAGTGCCCCTCGCAAATGCAGAGTTTGCTCCACAGATTCGATCGGTTCCCCACCCGGCTTCTTGACACAATCACTGGTCGATCTTTGAAAATGCATTGTTATATCTTGGTTGAGCTCGAGGGCGTATCCTCCTTCCAGCGCAATTGCTTCCAGCATGCGTCGTAGTCCCTCGGCTTTTCGAGATACCAGCGTAGTGTCGTCTGCATGCACCACATCTTGCCCAACCAAGTAGTCTGGCTTAGCACAGCCAGTGCTGTAGCACACGGTGTTGGCTTCGTAGCGAATCAGAGCATTACCTGTGCCAATTCCGACGGTGCCCATTCAGTTCAAACCCCGAGCGCCGCCAATCCCCATTGGAGGAGGAGGAGGAAGAGGAGGAGGAGGAGGAGGAGGAGGAGGAGGAAGTCGCTATGCGCCCGTGTGCGTTTCGCTCCCTTCGCGCAAAGGAGCCGCAACATCGCACCGACAAGTTGCACGCCAGCACATCCTTATGCAAACAGTGCCGTTGACGTCTCTGAGAAGTTCTCCGAAGGCGGTTAGACCTTGTGTACCGCATGAGTCCCCAGCGCGACGGCAAGTGCCACGATGACAGCAAAACGGCGAGAACCGCAGGGGTCTGGTGGGAGCTCATCCAGATGATTACAGCACCTGTTGTCTCAACTCATCTGAGCGGCACGGGCAGATTTTTGGTAGGTGGATCTCTCAAGCGCTCCGCCGCCTCTGGCGGTGTGCGTTGCGAGCAGGAACGCAGCAAAACCACAGGAAAACACGGCATTGACAGTGTAGCTTCGCACACGTGACAAATTCTAACGAGCAGGAACGAGCAGGAACACAGCCCTTGTTGCCTCAACTCCTCTGAGCGGCACGGGCAGAGAGAAAGAGCACAGCGTTCGCAGAGAGGCTCCGAGCGTGTCTGCACAGCGGTAATTTGTGCGGGGTGGACCCGTGCCATCAGAGGGCGGCGACTATTCAGAGCGAGGCAGGGCTACGAGAGAGCTCCCGGCAACGCTTCCTGCGGGAATCGTTGCACCCTCGCCTTTCCTTCCGCTTCCCCCCCCGCCCCTGTGTCCGCCCGCTCCTCCCTTTCTCTTTCACCGCCCATCCCTCTCACATCCCCCATCCCCCGTCCCCCCTCTCCTGTCCCTCCCCCCTTCCACTGTCCCTCTCCCTCTCCCTCCTCTCCCTTGCCCTCTTCCGTTCCACGGTGCCAGGGCCTTCTCAAGGTCCCCCGAGAAGCCCCTCGCGAGGTCCACCCGAGGCCTCTAAGTTCCTCTGGCTTTCTCAGCATACGCCCAACAGCCTTGACAGCTCGGAAAAGGGGACGCAGAGGAGGGCTTTGACTCAGCCTTAGGTGGACGTGCCCTGTCTGCACCAATAGCCTCAAGCCAAGCGACCTCCGCGTCGACAGCTACGTGAAGAAGGTGCTGGAGGAGACGCCCCCTAGCGTGGACGAGGTCGAGATCCTGCAGGACGGCTCCTACCGGTGCATCGAGGAGGCTCGCGGAAGCATCGAGAAAGCCGAATCAAACAGCAGTACCCCTCGTCCCCCTCGTTCAGTCTCACCATGCAGATCCATTTTGCCGTAAGCCTTTGATTGTCTAGGCCCAACAGGCCACCGACTACTTGCTCTTACCGTTTATGTTCAGACCCATGCTCTGCAGCGCTGCGCTCCAGCACTCCGCGCGACAGTCACGATCGCCTTGCTCCTGTTCCAGACTTCCGGACAATGCATTCGTACGCTCCTGGGCCAAGCGTCCTTTCCTCCTCCAGGGTAGCCGGGGGCACTTTTTTGCAAGCTCTGGTTCGACCGACACATGTTGATCTGTGTCGTCGTACTTCGCATCCGGGCGAGGCAAGCTGATTTCGCGCCTCTTGGCCTTATCGCTCGACTGTGGGTCTCTGGGAGGGGGTGACCAGCTCGGAGCCGAATACTGATGTCAGTGCTCCAATGGGACTGTAACGACCTGTCCTCTCTGCGGCCACCGTGGCGGCAGCTGCACGTTCCCCCGCTTCAGCCACTGCTCCGCTATCGCTGTGCGAGGTGCTAGCAACGCATGGCAGCCAGCAGCGCGGTCCAGGCCTGGTGGGCACTGTGCCACTGGTCGCGCATACGTGAGGAGACGCATGAAGCGCAGTGTGGCTCGGCAGATGACGCGGCCACATCGCGACCAACAGGAAATGCAGCTTCGCCATCCCGGGAGAACGTCCAGGTGCACATTTACCTGGTCGACTGCACAGCAATGGACAGGTTCTCTGGCGACGTGTTCCAACGAGCGGTGCATTGTACGATCTCTGCCTCTGCTTCTGCGATCTTTGGATGAACGTTTGCTGGCGCGCGGACCAGGGACGTTGGTTGCAGCCCATTTTAGACCCATGTCTGCACCTTCGCAGGCACCTGATGGTCTTCATGGAACAGATGCTGACTTGGTCTGAGGACAGGGAGGCGGGGTGACTTCGGAGGGCGCTGGCAGAAGTGGAGCGTGGCAAGGGGCGTGGAGCCTCGGGGCATTGCACGACCGGTGTGCGCGCCCTGTCGAGTCGTTGTCTGGGGCCTGCTTGGCGCTGCCACGGAGGCCGTCCATGACCCGTGGCACAAAGCTTCGGCCCACCCTCCCGTCAGGCGCGCGACTTGTGGACGGGATGAGCTTCGTTTTGAGTGAAGGTAATTTGAGGGAGTTTCTGTGGAACTCACGTCATCCTCACCCCCGGCGCGAAGAGCACGAGTCCAGAGCGGCCTCCGGTACCGTTTCCGGACGGATCCGCTGGATCCGGTGACGAATCCCAAACCGGCGCCCTCGCTTGAGACATCCTCGCAAAACCGGCCCCGGGGGAGGTGCCCAGAGGAGCCCAGAGCGGCCTCCGGCACCGTTTCCGGACAGATCCGATCCGCTGGATCCGGTGACGAATCCCAAACCGGCGCCCTCGCTTGAGACATCCTCGCAAAACCGGCCCCGGGGGAGGTGCCCAGAGGAGCCCAGAGCGGCCTCCGGCACCGTTTCCGGACAGATCCGGTGGATCCGGTGACGAATCCCAAACCGGCGCCCTCGCTTGAGACATCCTCACAAAACCGGCCCCGGGGGAGGTGCCCAGAGGAGCCCAGAGCGGCCTCCGGCACCGTTTCCGGACAGATCCGGTGGATCCGGTGACGAATCCCAAACCGGCGCCCTCGCTTGAGACATCCTCACAAAACCGGCCCCGGGGGAGGTGCCCAGAGGAGCCCAGAGCGGCCTCCGGCACCGTTTCCGGACAGATCCGGTGGATCCGCTGGATCCGACGACGAATCCCAAACCGGCGCCCTCGCTTGAGACATCCTCACAAAACCGGCCCCGGGGGAGGTGCCCAGAGGAGCCCAGAGCGGCCTCCGGCACCGTTTCCGGACAGATCCGGTGGATCCGCTGGATCCGGTGACGAATCCCAAACCGGCGCCCTCGCTTGAGACATCCTCACAAAACCGGCCCCGGGGGAGGTGCCCAGAGGAGCCCAGAGCGGCCTCCGGACACCGTTTCCGGACAGATCCGGTGGATCCGAGTCCGGCAATCCGGTGGATCCGGTGAAATCCCAAACCGGCGCCCTCGCTTGAGACATCCTCACAAAACCGGCCCCGGGGGAGGTGCCCAGAGGAGCCCAGAGCGGCCTCCGGCACCGTTTCCGGACAGATCCGCTGGATCCGGTGACGAATCCCAAACCGGCGCCCTCGCTTGAGACATCCTCACAAAACCGGCCCCGGGGGAGGTGCCCAGAGGAGCCCAGAGCGGCCTCCGGCACCGTTTCCGGACAGATCCGGTGGATCCGCTGGATCCGACGAATCCCAAACCGGCGCCCTCGCTTGAGACATCCTCACAAAACCGGCCCCGGGGGAGGTGCCCAGAGGAGCCCAGAGCGGCCTCCGGCACCGTTTCCGGACAGATCCGGTGGATCCGCTGGATCCGCTGGATCCGACGAATCCCAAACCGGCGCCCTCGCTTGAGACATCCTCACAAAACCGGCCCCGGGGGAGGTGCCCAGAGGAGCCCAGAGCGGCCTCCGGCACCGTTTCCGGACAGATCCGCTGGATCGACGAATCCCAAACCGGCGCCCTCGCTTATCCTCACAAAACCGGCCCCGGGGGAGGTGCCCAGAGGAGCCCAGAGCGGCCTCCGGCACCGTTTCCGGACAGATCCGCTGGATCCCGACGAATCCCAAACCGGCGCCCTCGCTTGAGACATCCTCACAAAAATCGGGGGGGTGCCCAGAGGAGCCGAGCGGCCTCCGGCACCGTTTCCGGACAGATCCGCTGGATCCGCCGACGAATCCCAAACCGGCGCCCTCGCTTGAGACATCCTCACAAACCGGCCCCGGGGGAGGTGCCCAGAGGAGCCCAGAGCGGCCTCCGGCACCGTTTCCGGACAGATCCGGACAGATCCGGTGGATCCGCGCCCCGGGGGAGGTGCCCAGAGGAGGAATGAGGAGGAGGAGGAGGAGGAGGAGGAGGAGGAGGAGGAGGAGGAGGAGGAGGAGGAGGAGGAGGAGAGGAGGAGGAGGAGGAGGAGGAGGAGGAGGAGGAGGAGGAGGAGGAGGAGGAGGAGGAGGAGGAGGAGGAGGAGGAGGAGGAGGAGGAGGAGGAGGAGGAGGAGGAGGAGGAGGAGGAGGATGGAGGAGGAGGAGGAGGAGGAGGAGGAGGAGGAGGAGGAGGAGGAGGAGGAGGAGGAGGAGGAGGAGGAGGAGGAGGAGGAGGAGGAGGAGGAGGAGGAGGAGGAGGAGGAGGAGGAGGAGGAGGAGGAGGAGGAGGAGAAGATGATGGAGCTGTGGGGTGGAGGAGGACAGACGGAGGCAAGAGAAGGATGGAGGAGGAGGAGGAGGAGGAGGAGGAGGAGGAGGAGGAGGAGGAGGAGGAGGAACCTCATCCTCACCCTCGCCAACAGGCGCACGCACCTTCTTCTATATATAGAAACTCCCGATCAACCGCAGAGCGGCCGGCTAGTATGGAGAGGTGCTGGTGTGTTGGATACTTTCAACGTAGCCGCAAAAGAGGTTTCGAAAATAGGTGAAGAACAGCATGTATTCGACACATGTAAGTTAACTGACATTATTGTGTTATACGGTGTAAGCGCTCCAAGCGCAAGCGGTGTTTGCGGCGCGCAGCGGTTGCCTTGCCGGGAAAGCCGATTGCCATGGCAGCCCAGGGCGATCATGGTTCGTCGGGGTCACACAAGAAGAGTCGCTTCTGTTGACGTAGATGTTTTCCATCCTCACCAAACAACGGCCTACCAAACTGAGGAGTGCGGATCTCCAGGTCTGGAGGATTGCCCGGATCCGGTGGTGAGGTGGTGAGATCGCAGTGAAAAACGGAAAGCCCCCCCCCCCCACCGGGAAGTCGGTTTCGGTTTCGTCTTCGTGTCGCGCGTGTGGGCGAGGCGACGCTGCGTGGGTGGGCGAAGGCTGCCGCCGGGACAGAAGTCCGACCCCCCGGTTGGCGGGCGGTGGCCGGGGGTGTCCCGCCGTGGTGTCCCGACGGTGTTCCGTGGTGTCTTGTGGTGCCCCGCGGCGTGGCGCAGTGGCCCGCAGTGTCCCGTGGTGCCTGGTGAGATCGATACTGAGATCGACTGTCAGGTCGACAGTGAGATCGATAGTGAGACCGATCATGAGATCGCTGGTGATATCGATGGGGAGAAGGCTGGTCGGATCGACGGTGAGATCAATCTTGAGGTCGATCCTGGGATCGATGGTGCGATCCTGTGGGTGAAACGTTGGTTCCTCCCCTCGAACCCCCTCATCACGCGCAGGGTGGTAGTGCAGATATTTTTCTGACTTTGGCCACAATGCGCGCTAAGGTTATGGCCAAGCAATGTCTCGTCGACCTCCTCGTCCTCCTCGTCGTCGTCGTCGTCGTTGTTGTTGACGTCGGACGACGACGACGAGGAGGACGACGACGACGACGAGGAGGAGGCTAAGGGTATGCCTCCTCAGTTCGACAACTCCGACTTCCGTACCTGCCGCTCGCTCTTCTGGCCCCCCCTTGTTGGATGTTTGCCGGTTTCTTTCAGGAGGGGAAAGAACACAGACACAATTAATCGTCGACTCCAAGTAAAAAGCGGGAAAATATCGGAAGTTGTGGGGAAGAGAAAAACCCATAATAAATCAGAACGTATGGGGAATAGTTGTATTTGTATGCATTTATTTGTGAGTCCGTGGGCCCCTTCATTCTTGAAAGGCAGGAACTTTGCGGCGTTCCTGGTCGAGCTTCTGGACATCCACGCATCCTCGTAGGCGGCCCGTGCTCGGGTGGCAGTTCGTGTGCACTCCTCCCACGGAGGGCTGCAGATCGCGCGGAGAGCACGGCCAATAGATGGCTGCAGGTCGCCAGTGTAGGCGATCAATTGTGCCCCGCTTGCTGCTTTTTGCCTGGCTCCGCGGCTGCTTCGTTCTATCTTTGGATTCGGCGTGGACGCAGCTGCGGGAATCAGGGCCGGACGGCAGACTCATGCTACAGGTCGGGCGCGGAGAGCATTGGCGAGAC